TATATACCCCCTTCCTTCAGAGTTCTACCCCGTCTACCTCCGCCACTGCCGTTACAGGGAGGCAATCTTCTTCTCCTTCGCCGGGGACACGCGATTCTTCATTTAGAAATATCGAAGCTGTCTTCTACTGGAGAAAAGGCGACGGCGATCGGAGATTCGTTCGAAAACCTTCGGCCCCCTCGTCATCCGGCGAGGCAGAAAATTTAGGTAGAATTTGAACATTATGACATCTAACCAGTGATCTCCGATTGTGGAAGAGACATTGGAGTGGGCAGCGAGCGGTTTTTGAGCTTTTCTTTTGTTTGATTGAAACCCTTGTCTCTCTCTCGGTGTCTTTTTGTATATATCTATATCTCTCAGGCTGGTTCAGCGGCGTCGATATGCGGGCAAGCCCGTAGTGACCGAGCGCCTCCTGAGACCAGCGACATTGATGCATCGATCATATGACCGAGCAGATTCTCAACCTTCCCCGAGTCTCGCTCTTGTCTAGATCTGATACATTTTACTTCAGCTTCGTGCCTCTTCTTTGCTTTTCGGTTTAGTTTTTGGGTTCATTGGTTGCTTTTCCGTCTACCAAACCCGGCTTGATAGAACTATTTCGACCCTAATTTCAAAACGGGCGGTATCGTCTCCATTGATGCGCAGTATTCACTGTCGAAATTTCTTCCTTGTATTTCTTGCAGAGTTAACTATTACCAGGCTTAGTCAGGTAGCCATCGATCATCAATGGTGGTTACAGTTACATGCCTGGAATACTAACAGAGCGCATCGTTACACTTATTATATGTTGATTAATTTTGTGTTACATCTGTGCTCAACATTTACTACTCTGCAGTAAAACAAGGCCTTATGCTTTTAACATCGTGTTTGTTCTTTGCTTTCATTTGAAAATTGTTTGGTGAATTTGATTGATTTTGTTGGTTTATGATTGTTTTTTAATTGAAAGTTTTCTAAAACTATATTTTGGATGTATTCCGCAGATGTTTGAATGAGAAATTTTGAGGCTTTACTGAAATTTTATAACTTTTGCACTAAGTTCTATTGAAATTTTTGAGCTTTCATCAAATTGTTGTCAGGTTCTATCATTGAAATTAGATGGCTTAAAACTTGATGCATTTAGTTTTCAGAAATAATAATGATGATCATTACAATTTACAAAATTTTCATTTCAATTTAATAATGGAAATTTAACTTTATTTGTTTCATATTAATAGTAATTGGCTAAACATTTAAATAAAAACAAGTTTATTGAAAATTTAAAGTTTCATTAAATAATTCATCCGATGTAATGATACTTATTTTCAGTTGATAATATAAAGATTTTAATAGTTTTTGAAAGAGTTGAAAGTAAAACATGTTCAACTATTTAAAAGTCATGCAATCACCAACATCAATCATTTATTTTGAAGGCCATTTGAAAGAGATAATCAAGAGGAGCAATGGTGTTTTGTACCTGAGCTGTTGAAAGGCAAATTGGGCATGGTGGGAGCGCAAGTTTGGAGGTTAGTGTAAGATAGTGGCACAACATGTATGTATAGGGGTGTGAACTAGCTGAGCTTGGGGAGTTGAGCATATGTTTGAGTGCGGCTTCTTTATATTTTTTTACAGTTCTATGAACAGCCTGTTCTTGTTTGATTCTAAAGTAAAATTTTGTGTTTGTTTTCAGCTTGTGCTTGGCTTAAATTAGCTCTTTTAAATAGATGTAGGATGTTTGATTTGAACCTTCATCATTTATATGCAATGGAAGGCTTTTGATCTCATGATAAACATGAGGTGTGATATTTAAACTTAGATATAAATATATATAATATATTATTTTGTGTTAAAATCTGTCGAACAATTTATAAAGGGTAATTGTTATTTAACTTGTTTATAATTTGAGCTTAAAAATTTTCTTCTTTTGACTCATTTATATAACAAACAATTCGAGAAACAGTTCTTGATGAGCTGAACATGGCTGTTTTTGGACAACAGATTTTTTTGACTGTCGTATGTATGTAGGGCTGGTAATGATCCGCTTTGGAAGCTCAAAAGAAATTCAATCCAAAATTTTAGCATGTAGCTCTATTCATTCATTTAAATCTCGATTCGAACCAAATTTCAAATCAATTTTTGAGCCATTAATGTTCTTTGGGCTAAATTCGCTAAATTTATAGTTATATGTTGTTAATGATTCGATTTTGAGCCGAACTTGGGTCGGATCAAACTTGACTAAAAAATTTAATCCAAAATTTTGGGTTGCAGCTTGACTCATTTATTTAAATCTAATTTCGATCAGAGCCAAAATTCATTTTCGAGCTAAATTCACATCCATATATGTATGAATCTTGGATCTTAGCGGGTTTGTGATGCTATCCCACTTGATATTATATTTATTCTCGGGATTGAACTCATGATCTTCTCAAAGGGTTGGGGGGTAAATTGCCAAAGTATTTGTTGGCTTGTTTAGAATTAAAATAGTGCAATCATATGCATATCATATATAATCAAACGAACATTGATATAGGATGTCATTGATTGTTAATGTAAATGATAGAAGTTCTATTGCATGCAAAGAGTATAATTTTGATAAATTGTTTGGGTAACACTAATGGACATGAGATGTACTTTGTTAAATAATTCAAATGCATTAATTATTAGGTTAATGTTTATACTTCTGCCCTCACTTTTTCTTTTATATGTTATTAAAGATTTATTTGATTTTTCGTCATGTTTTGAAGTGTATTACAAGTCATTCTTGTGAATTCTTATGATTTCAACATATGAGATGGAGGGAGAGACCATTTGACATATATGCAACCTTTTTAAAGCTTTTAAGAGGATGAATAATACATCATGAAATCCTCACAACTCTTGAGATACATTCTAAGTTCAACAATCTTGCGAGCTTCTTTTAAATTGAACGTAGAAAATATTAAGTTTTCATCCTCTTTAAAGTACTTATATGAGTTCTTGGAGCATTATATTCATTAAGGAGTAATTCAACTTCAATCCGATGTTATTAAAATCTCAACCTTTGGATATCGTCTTAATTTTGGTGCGCGCAAGCTTGTCAAATACCCTTTTTCTAAAACCTTCTTGACGACCATCCCCTCTATTCATTATCTTGAGGTCATAAATCCCTGCTAAAGGTTAAGAATGATCCTATAATCGTTAGGTTAAGCTTATTTGAAATCAAAAGTCCAAATATTTGATCATTCCACTTGTATGGCTAGTTAACGTAGCTTTATGACTCAACTAGAGTTGTCGGCTTGGATTTGTTTTAAATATCATGCACATCTTCATTGAGCGAAAGCCTCCTTGATAGTTATTAGTTTCATTTGCACACATTAATGGCATAGGTCTCGTCTTGCCAAAGTGCTTCGATGCTCTGATGTCTCTTCTTGCCAAAGTGCTCGGCTTGTTGGCTCACAACCTCGCTCGATTAGCATATCACTAGTCATTTCGATACATTTTCCGGTGAGCTTCTAATGCCTTCTCAGACCACCAATACCTCCTCCAACGAGCTCCTGTAAAAATTGACTTTTTAGTACGAGTTCACAAGCTGGCTAGTGGCTAAAGCCAGCCCGCGGCGAGGTTCCGGCCGGCTCTATTCATGCTCGACTTGAGTTCACAGTTTACCAAACGAACCAATCTCGAGCTTGGCATGGCTTGCTGCACCCCTAAACCTAATAGCTATAACATACGAGAAAGATATTATATTAGCTATGACCTAACATATTATAACTTAGATAAATGCATCCATGTAAGTTTTGTATTATTCCACAAGCAATTACTGATATTATTTTAAGAATTATTTTAAATCTAAATAGTTATAATATTCTTACAATGATATGAAGGGTAAAATAAAAATTATTATGAAGGCAGTGACCCATCTTCCCTGCATTGATGCATCATGAACGGTAAGGATTTCAATTTATTTGGGGAATTCAGACCCAATGGATGAGAATGGAGAGATGATCCAACGGCTGAAATTAAAACATTAAATTACATAGAATTTAATATTTTTTTTAAATGATATAATTGTTAATTAATTTTTATTTATAAATTTTATTTTATGAATAATTTAATCAAATTAAAATTTGTCAAATATAAATAAATAAATAGACAAGTAAATATAATTATTTAAACATTTTGAGCCAATTTAACCCAAACAAGATGGAATAAATTTTTATTTTTGTTCAACTTATTCATTTAGAGCTAAAAGAAATTGCGCATCTTCAGCTAGCTTCATGAACTAGGTGAACATGAGCTCAGAGCTGAACAATAGCTAATAGCTATTTATGAAGATGGGCCATTTTAATGAAAAATTATTAGGTGCGCGAATATGACACATATGGACAAAGATTCAAATGAGATGTCGTGAGATTCCGTCCTGATTGGGTGACTGTAATTTTCTTAAAATTTGATTGCAACTACGTTCTAATAAATCAGGTTGAAAAAAATAACTTCTCAAAGTCAGCAAATAAATAGATCTCTAAACAGAGAAATTATTTCATGCGGACAACACATACAGAGATGCATGCGCACTCGTCGTCGATTAGAGTTTTTTTGTTTGTTTTTTTTAAATGAGGCCCAACGAAATACAATTTTGCTCTGATCGACGGCCGAGATCGAACAGCACATGCATCTCTAACTTTAATGTAATCTCAATATGAGACCAATGCTAGAAGATTAAATTTTTTCTAGGAGAAAATATTGGCTGCTGATTCCGAACACGACCGCCTCTGCATTCCCCCTCCCCGACACAACTCAACACGAGCGATGAAGAGCGGAGAGGCTCCGGTGGACCTTCTGGAAACCCTAGGGGATTTCACGAGCAAGGAGAACTGGGACAAGTTCTTTACTCTGAGGGGCGCTGGAGATTCGTTTGAGTGGTACGCCGAATGGCCGTCTCTTCGCGACACGCTACTTTCCCAACTTTCATCCATTCCATCTTCCACCACCTCTTCCGAAGCTACCGCGGGGCTGCCTCGGATCCTCATCCCTGGATGCGGCAATTCCCGCGTTTCCGAGCACCTGTACGACGCCGGATTCCAACAAATTACCAATATTGACTTCTCTAAGATCGCGGTGTCCGACATGCTGCACCGCAACATTCGCTGTCGCCCAGAGATGAGATGGCGGGTTATGGACATGACGGATATGCAGGTAAGATTACCAAGTCGTCTTCTTCTCTGGTTGTTTAGCTTTGGTTTGTTTGGTGAATTGGAAGTGTTCATGGAGTTGGAGAAATTATAAGGCAATCGTTATCTTTATGATTGGCTGTTAATGGCTAAGAATTGATTTTGAGTTTTAATTGATGTTGGGAATTGGATTTCTGGTTAAATTGGATGAAAGAAGGTTGAGGTTGATGAAAGGTTGCTGTAGAAAGGAAGTTGTAGAACTGGAGTTTGAAAAAAAAAATACTTTTTTTTGTGATGCTGCAAGAGTTACTTCGCTCCTCTTAAAAACCTACTTTTAGTATCTGAGAAGACACAGTAACCATGTTTTATTATGTATTCCATTGGAAACAGTTGTCTTCAGTATTAACAGATGGTTAATGATAGATACTAATAGCATGATATTTTACCAAATTGGTAAAAAATATTGTTGGAAGATGGAAAAATTATCAAAAGAGGTTCTTGCAACCAATGGAATTTAAATCATATGATTAATATCAACATAATTTCAAGTTACCTAATTCATTTTTTCAATAATCACTAGTTTGCCAAACATTGAATTTAGTTGTGTTATTTGAAAAAATGGCCACTAGCAATCAAAACATGTGTACATCTTTCGATAATTACATAAAAGCTACAATGCACTCCTTGCTTGGATTGGTTTTGGTGGAAACAATCCAAATTGAAACATTTCTAATTAGTTCAAAGATCGCAATAACCATTTTTGAAGCTTAATTGGTTTAAAATGCTTAAATAGCTAATAATATTGACTTATGATATTGTTAACTAATTGCTAGTTTGCCAACCAACAAGTTTATTTGTACCTTTAGAAATTTTGTCCAATAGTAGTTGACATGTGTGTACATCTGTTGGCAATTACAAGAAAGTTCCCCATGCTTGCTTTGGCTTGGATGGAAGTAGTGCCAATCTTGAAGGAAGAAATTATTATTGTTTTGAAGATTTTTACAATGATTTTTGAATATTAATTGGGTTATAATGCTTAAATAGTTAAGAATTCTTGATTCATGATACAGTTGCTATTTTAATACCAGAAAATTTGCATTTAAAATCCAAATATTATGCTACATGAAGAACTTTGGCCACATGATTCATACCATCAAAGGAAATGTTGTTTAAATTCATGATGGTGTTGAATTTTTTTTAATCTTGCTCTAGAAAACCTTTAATTAGATGTATATGTGAATATTATGGCTAATTATTTTGCTTTGACATGTTGACCTTCTCAAAAAATAGAAATTGTTGAGACCATAATCTTGATGGATCTTTAATCATTATTTATTACAATAAATATTTAATATTTCCTCTTCTCTTCTCTGTAGGTTTTATTTTATTTTTTAACTCGGCAGTAGTTTAGGATTTGCACTAGGTGGTTGGGCTTATGTACGGCTTGGGTGAATTAAATGCATGCCTCATAAATATGCATATAGAAGGCTTTCATAAAACAATTTTGCTACAATTTTTTTAAGGAAGGTATATTAGAAATCTTGTAATTTCTATTGGTTTAAAATGAAGGTCCGATCTTTAGATCAAACAATCTTAGGTGAACCCTTTGTGACTCGATTACTTGTGAACGCCGCAATTCATGCACCTACTGCACCACACACAATTTTGACTTAAACTGACTCGCCAGCCGGCAAACTTGTCCGAACGATCCCGAATGACGAAACGGACCGCGCCGACGCGTCCGAAACGTCAACTTTAGCTAGAAAGGACACCCGCATTGTTATGATTTCGCGCGCACAGTTTGCACGAAAATCGATGCATTTTTTTTCTTTAGCGGGATGCAGGTCCGGACTCAAATCGGATTCAATTCAGGCTGGACTCGAGCATGACAAGAGTTAAGCAAATTTGAATTTCGAATTTCAAATTTCAAATTGCTACATAATTCAAATTTCAAATTTTAAAATTCAAATTTATGATTTAATCCTCCATTAAATATTTTCATTTAAGTTGGCTGCATGCAAGGAAGACTTTCAATTCCCCGCCAATGTAATGTAACGGCTCCTTAGATTAATTCGGCCCGCTCCTATTCTAAAAAACATTCCGCACCGAAGCCGCAACCTCCCTCTTCCTCCTCGCCTGCTTGATCCCGTCTCTGTAACCCTTCTTCTACTCGCGCTCGTCCATTTTCCTCTGCACCGAAAACTTTCCGCCCGTCCCCTTCTCGGCACGATTTGAGACGGTCTCCACCGAAAACACCTGCTCCCCGCTCCTCTGCTCCTCTGCTCGACTGCTCGACCGAAGAAGCGTCTCTCCCGTTCGACCGCTCCTTCCTCTGCCGCCGTATGGACGAAGCCACTCGCCTCTCACTTTCGCATCTTCCTCGCTCGCCCAGAAAGCCCCGCTTTTCCTGCTTGAAACATTCCACCGCAACTCCTCCGCTCAATCCGCTCGGCTCAGAGGTTTCCTCGCGACAGACTCCCACCCCCTTCACGGGGCTCGCCCGATCCCGCCTCCCTCCTCTTCGGGCAGAGGAAACTCCGCTCAACAGCTTCGATATTCTCTGCACCAAGGCTTTCGACTCCTTTCTCTGTCACCTGCTTCGACTCGCTCAACTTCGTCTCTTAACCTCGGCACAGAGTTCTTAACTTGGCTCTCCTTTTTCGATTGAAGCATTCGCTAGCTTACCTCTCCCTCTCGCGACCGAATCCTCGTGCCTAACACCCTCACCGAGCCGAACTCCCTCTTCTTCCTCTCGAATACGGAAGGAGGAGACGAGCATTCTCCAGTCACGCACGTCCTTTTAAGCGCAACAACTAAAGCAGAGGAGAACAGCTTGTGGCATTGCACTAATTCTACACCACATTCTTTCATTTTTTGATCTTCTGCAAACAGAAGGTGATGGGCTTCTTTGTTTTTTTTTTTTAATTTTTTTTTACTGATAGAATGCATAGGAATTGAGTGCAATTATTAGGTTAATGTTTATACTTCTGCCCTCATTTTTTCTTTTATGTGTTATTAAAGATTTATTTGACTTTTCATCATGTTTTGAAGTGTAATACAAGTCATTCTTATGAATTCTTATGATTTCAACATATGAGATGGAGGGAGAGACCATTTGACATATATGCAACCTTTTTAAAGCTTTTAAGAGGATGAATAATACATCATGAAATCCTCACAACTCTTGAGATACATTCTAAGTTCAACAATCTTGCGAGCTTCTTTTAAATTGAACGTAGAAAATATTAAGTTTTCATCCTCTTTAAAGTACTTATATGAGTTCTTGGAGCATTATATTCATTAAGGAGTAATTCAACTTCAATCCGATGTTATTAAAATCTCAACCTTTGGATATCGTCTTAATTTTGGTGCGCGCAAGCTTGTCAAATACCCTTTTTCTAAAACCTTCTTGACGACCATCCCCTCTATTCATTATCTTGAGGTCATAAATCCCTGCTAAAGGTTAAGAATGATCCTATAATCGTTAGGTTAAGCTTATTTGAAATCAAAAGTCCAAATATTTGATCATTCCACTTGTATGGCTAGTTAACGTAGCTTTATGACTCAACTAGAGTTGTCGGCTTGGATTTGTTTTAAATATCATGCACATCTTCATTGAGCAAAAGCCTCCTTGATAGTTAATAGTTTCATTTGCACACATTAATGGCATAGGTCTCATCGTGCCAAAGTGCTCTGATGCTTTGATGTCTCTTCTTGCCAAAGTGCTCGGCTTGTTGGCTCACAAGCTAGCTCGATTAGCATATCACTAGTCATTTTGATGCATTATCCGGTGAGCTTCTAATGCCTTCTCTGACCACCAATACCTCCTCCAACGAGCTCATGTAAAAACTCACTTTTTTGTACGAGTTCACAAGCTGGCTAATGGCTACTGCCAGCACGAGTCGAGTTCGAGCTCGCTATTCATGCTCGACTTGAGTTCACAGTTTACCAAACGAACCAATCTCGAGCTTGGCATGGCTTGCTGCACCCCTAAACCTAATAGCTATAACATACGAGAAAGATATTATATTAGCTATGACCCAACATATTATAACTTAGATAAATGCATCCATGTAAGTTTTGTATTATTCCACAAGCAATTACTGATATTATTTTAAGAATTATTTTAAATCTAAATAGTTATAATATTCTTACAATGATATGAAGGGTAAAATAAAAATTATTATGAAGGCAGTGACCCATCTTCCCTGCATTGATGCATCATGAACGGTAAGGATTTCAATTTATTTGGGGAATTCAGACCCAATGGATGAGAATTGAGAGATGATCCAATGGCTGAAACTAAAACATTAAATTACATAGAATTTAATATTTTTTAAATGATATAATTGCTAATTAATTTTTATTTATAAATTTTATTTTATGAATAGTTTAATCAAATTAAAATTTGTCAAATATAAATAAATAAATAGACAAGTAAATATAATTATTTAAACATTTTGAGCCAATTTAACCCAAACAAGATGGAATAAATTTTTATTTTTGTTCAACTTATTCATTTAGAGCTAAAAGAAATTGCGCATCTTCAGCTAGCTTCATGAACTAGGTGAACATGAGCTCAGAGCTGAACAATAGCTAATAGCTATTTATGAAGATGGGCCATTTTAATGAAAAATTATTAGGTGCGCGAATATGACACATATGGACAAAGATTCAAATGAGATGTCGTGAGATTCCGTCCTGATTGGGTGACTGTAATTTTTTTAAAATTTGATTGCAACTACATTCTAATAAGTCAGGTTGAAAAAAATAACTTCTCAAAGTCAGCAAATAAATAGATCTCTAAACAGAGAAATTATTCCATAAGGACAACACATGCAGAGATGCATGCGCACTCGACCGTCGATTAGAGTTTTTTTGTTTGTTTTTTTTTAAATGAGGCCCAACGAAATACAATTTTGCTCTGATCGACAGCCGAGAACGAACAGTAGATGCATCTCTAACTTTAATAAAATCTCAATATGAGACCAATGCTAGAAGATTAAATTTTTTCTCACATTTTGAGGAGAAAATATTGGCTGCTGATTCAGCGCGAGGAACACGACCGCCTCTGCATTCCCCCTCCCCGACACAACTCAACACGAGCGATGAAGAGCGGAGAGGCTCCGGTGGACCTTCTGGAAACCCTAGGGGATTTCACGAGCAAGGAGAACTGGGACAAGTTCTTTACTCTGAGGGGCGCTGGAGATTCGTTCGAGTGGTACGCCGAATGGCCGTCTCTTCGCGACACGCTACTTTCCCAACTTTCATCCATTCCATCTTCCACCACCTCTTCCGAAGCTACCGCGGGGCTGCCTCGGATCCTCATCCCTGGATGCGGCAATTCCCGCGTTTCCGAGCACCTGTACGACGCCGGATTCCAACAAATTACCAATATTGACTTCTCTAAGATCGCGGTGTCCGACATGCTGCACCGCAACATTCGCTGTCGCCCAGAGATGAGATGGCGGGTTATGGACATGACGGATATGCAGGTAAGATTACCAAGTCGTCTTCTTCTCTGGTTGTTTAGCTTTGGTTTGTTTGGTGAATTGGAAGTGTTCATGGAGTTGGAGAAATTATAAGGCAATCGTTATCTTTATGATTGGCTGTTAATGGCTAAGAATTGATTTTGAGTTTTAATTGATGTTGGGAATTGGATTTCCGTTTAAATAGGATGAAAGAAGGTTGAGGTTGATGAATGGTTGCTGTAAAAAGGAAGCAGTAGAACTGGAATTTGAAAAAAAAAACACTTTTTTTTTGTGATGCTGCAAGAGTTACTTCGCTCCTCTTAAATACTTACTCTTAGTGTCTGAGAAAACAAAGTAACCATGTTTTATTATATTTTCCATTGGAAACAGTTAACTTCAGTATTAACAGATTGTTAATCACAGATACTAATAGCATGATATTTTACCAAGTTGATAAAAAAATATTGTTGGAAGATGGAGAAAATTATCAAAAGAGGTTATTGCAACTAATGGAATTTAAATCATATGATTAATATCATCATAATTTAAAGTTACCTAATTCGTTTTTTCAATAATCACTAGTTTGCCCAACATTGAATTTAGTCGTGTTATTTGAAAAAATGGCCACTAGCAATCAAAACAAGTGTACATATTTTGATAATTACATAAAAGCTACAATGCACTCCTTGCTTGGATTGATTTTGGTGGAAACAATCTAAAATGAAACATTTCTAATTGGTTCAAAGATCGCAATAACCATTTTTGAAGCTTAATTGGTTTAAAATGCTTAAATAGCTAATAATATTGACTTATGATATTGTTAACTAATTGCTAGTTATGCAAAACCAAAACTGTGAAACATAAATTATAATTTTCAAACACTTAAACCCTGGAGCCATCGCGACGACAGGAGCTTGGAACCAACTTTGTGGGCAGCAGGACGAGGAGCTTGGAGCGAGCAGCAAGATCTTCTTCAGCATCATCTCTTCCTTAATAAAACTCCTTATATGTAATTAACTAGAACCATTGATCATTATCGAGAGTTTTCTCAAATGACTCCCATCATTTGGGATGTAATTAACTATAAGGGCTTATAAAACTCCTTATATGTAATTAACTAGAACCATTGATCATTATCGAGAGTTTTCTCAAATGACTCCCATCATTTGGGATGTAATTAACTATAAGGGCTTATAAAACTCCTTATATGTAATTAACTAGAACCATTGATCATTATCGAGAGTTTTCTCAAATGACTCCCATCATTTGGGATGTAATTAACTATAAGGGCTTATAAAACTCCTTATATGTAATTAACTAGAACCATTGATCATTATCGAGAGTTTTCTCAAATGACTCCCATCATTTGGGATGTAATTAACTATAAGGGCTTATAAAACTCCTTATATGTAATTAACTAGAACCATTGATCATTATCGAGAGTTTTCTCAAATGACTCCCATCATTTGGGATGTAATTAACTATAAGGGCTTATAAAACTCCTTATATGTAATTAACTAGAACCATTGATCATTATCGAGAGTTTTCTCAAATGACTATTTATAAAACTCCTATTGTAATTAACTATAAGGGCTTTCCTCTATAGGGAACTTGGAACCCAGGTAACGTTTAAATAGGATGAAAGAAGGTTGAGGTTGATGAATGGTTGCTGTAAAAAGGAAGCAGTAGAACTGGAATTTGAAAAAAAAAACACTTTTTTTTTGTGATGCTGCAAGAGTTACTTCGCTCCTCTTAAATACTTACTCTTAGTGTCTGAGAAAACAAAGTAACCATGTTTTATTATATTTTCCATTGGAAACAGTTAACTTCAGTATTAACAGATTGTTAATCACAGATACTAATAGCATGATATTTTACCAAGTTGATAAAAAAATATTGTTGGAAGATGGAGAAAATTATCAAAAGAGGTTATTGCAACTAATGGAATTTAAATCATATGATTAATATCATCATAATTTAAAGTTACCTAATTCGTTTTTTCAATAATCACTAGTTTGCCCAACATTGAATTTAGTCGTGTTATTTGAAAAAATGGCCACTAGCAATCAAAACAAGTGTACATATTTCATGTGTACATCTTTCGATAATTACATAAAAGCTACAATGCACTCCTTGCTTGGATTGGTTTTGGTGGAAACAATCCAAATTGAAACATTTCTAATTAGTTCAAAGATCGCAATAACCATTTTTGAAGCTTAATTGGTTTAAAATGCTTAAATAGCTAATAATATTGACTTATGATATTGTTAACTAATTGCTAGTTTGCCAACCAACAAGCTTATTTGTAGCTTTAGAAATTTTGTCCAATAGTAGTTGAAATGTGTGTACATCTGTTGGCAATTACAAGAAAGTTTCCCATGCTTGCTTTGGCTTGGATGGAAGCAGTGCCAATCTTGAAGGAAGAAATTCTTATTGTTTTGAAGATTTTTACAACGAGTTTTGAATATTAATTGGGTTATAATGCTTAAATAGTTAAGAAATCTTGATTCATGATACAGTTGCTATTTTAATACCAGAAAATTTGCATTTAAAATCCAAATATTATGCTACATGAAGAACTTTGGCCACATGATTCATACCATCAAAGGAAATGTTGTTTAAATTCATGATGGTGTTGAATTTTTTTTAATCTTGCTCTAGAAAACCTTTAATTAGATGTATATGTGAATATTATGGCTAATTATTTTGCTTTGACATGTTGACCTTCTCAAAAAATAGAAATTGTTGAGACCATAATCTTGATGGATCTTTAATCATTATTTATTACAATAAATATTTAATATTTCCTCTTCTCTTCTCTGTAGGTTTTATTTTATTTTTTAACTCGGCAGTAGTTTAGGATTTGCACTAGGTGGTTGGGCTTATGTACGGCTTGGGTGAATTAAATGCATGCCTCATAAATATGCATATAGAAGGCTTTCATAAAACAATTTTGCTACAATTTTTTTAAGGAAGGTATATTAGAAATCTTGTAATTTTATTGGCTTAAAATGAAGGTCCGATCTTTAGAGCATATTAGAGGAACTAGTTGTTATTAAAACTAGTGTACCAAAATAATTTAATTTAGAGGTTATTCATGCTTAATTTTTAATCTTCACTTCCGTTATTATTAGTCTTATCCCAACAAATTGGGGTTAACTTTATGAATCCTTATTTTTCATTCATCACTTTCTGTATTGCTTGGGACGATGAGTTTATTTTGCACAACTTCTAGCCATGTTATTATTATTTTACGCCTTCTCATTTCCAATCTCCTTCCATGCTATCTGTCTTGGCCTATTTTATTGGTGATTATTGTACTTTGTAGTTTCTCAACCATCCAAGGTTTTTCTTCTTATTGTATATTCAATAAGTTCTACTTCCACACTCTTTAAATCATTAACCTATCCTTCTTAGTTTTTCGGTACTTCTTCACTCAGCTTGTCTATCAATTATTTATTGCCCAACATTTGGACTTATATGGTATAAGTTGTCTAAATAAAATTTATCTATTAAGTTTACTTGATATTTTAATGCGCATGTAAATCTTGTTATTATTGTCATTTTCATCCAATTATCCAGTGCTGTTACTGTATGCCTTTTTTTAAAAAACCAATATCTACTCCATATAAATTGCTACATTTCTAAGATATTTTTGTAGTTGAAAATTGTCATACATTCATCTAATTGCTTGAATTGTTAAAACAAGAAGTTAGATTTGTAAATTTTGCTATTGTTTAAAGACAAACAACTCAATGGTTTTCATGGGCTTGTTGTTTTTTATTCTGAGTTTTATTTATTCTATAGAAAAGGGTTTGTAGATTAATAGGGTGCTCATACCAAATGTCTTATATTTATGCATCATTTAATTTTTCTATATAGGTTGTAAATCATTTGAATAAGAGATGGTAGTCATTAGAACTATTGATTTTGCAAGTCATAAATTATCTTGTTATTTTGTTAAATTTCCAGTTGATTTAAAAAAAAAAATATCCCTTTGACTATTTTTAATGTAACCCTTAACGAAATTGTTTCGAGCTTTTTGGGCTTGTTATGCTAGGTAAGATCTACATACATACCACTCATTTTTTATGTATTCACATATCTAACAAGTAAACTTCAATTGTTACATATATGCCACCTTTCTTGTGTATGAAAATGTATATTCTACTTTTTAATTGTTAAAATGTTAATATTTTTTAAGTTATATGAAAGATTTGGGCGGCATAAATGTAAAATGCAAAATTGAAATGTAAATACATAAGAATTGGGTGATATGTTTGTAAATGCTTCAAAATTTAACTTATCAATAAAATCTAAGGTACAACTCAAAAATCTATGTTGAAGAATCATTAATAAAACACGGTTAAAAAAATATACATCCTTGGGGGAAAGAAGCCTCCATCCAAAAGATAGATTCAAAGCACGATAAATAAGAGAATAAGAAGAAACTTGTTAGCAGATTGTTAATGATAGGCAATGATAAAGCATTTGCCGTTAGTCAGTCCTTTTGCTTTTAATTGCTCAGATAAAGCATTTGCCGTTAGTCATTCCTTTAGCATTTCCCAAGGCTCCATTCCCTATCAGGAGAAAACTATTGGAAGCAGTCGCATGAGTTCACACTTTATATTATTGGTTGATTTATCTCTTACAAACAAATAATCCTTTCATTGAATTTTATTTAATCGCTTTTTAAGGAAAACATTATTGTTTTATCTCATCCAGTTGTAGATTAATTTAACCTCTTAGCGAGCTGATTAAATCCAGCCGATGCTAATAGGGTTAAAATCTAGATCTTGATGCGATAGAAAAGGGGCCTGTTGGTCCTGAAAATATGTTTTGCAACATTTGTGCTTGAAACCAGGGTTAATACTGTAATATTGGTTGGAGTGGAGTCCCTTCTGCACATTTTTTACAATGTTTTGTTTCAAAAAATCCTATAACATATTGCTCAAAGTTGCCAAAATTTGTGATTCCACCAGAGTCAATGGAATTTCAATAAGTCCAAAACTTGCGCTTTATAGAGTATCATGTGCCTGCGCCTCACAATTCTATTCATGTTTACGAAGACTTCTAAAATACATCAGGTCAAGATTTGGGCTCAATATATGGGACCACTTTTTTGATTAATTCATGGATATTAACAAGTATGCATAGACGACGACAACAACAACAATAACAAGCCTTTATCCCACTAAGGACATAGACGACGACAACAGCAACAATAACAAGCCTTTATCCCACTAAGTGGGTCGGCTACATGAATCCTTTTTCTCCATTGCGTCCTATGTAGTGTCATAATTTTATTTAATTTTAATAAATTAAGATAATTTTTTATACAATATGCCAGAGTTTTTCTAGGTCTACCTTTACCTTTTTAACATTAATTTTATCAAAAACATCTACTCTCCTAACCGGATCATGAGATGATCAACTTTTAAAAGATAGATTTGTGGTAATTGTCTAAGATGCTGATAGACCATTTTCCCAAAACTTAGCGGGGAATGTGGCCAAATTTCCTTTGAATTTTAATTATTCGTTTATTAGCCTCTATTTCAATATCAGTTTGCAGATGAGAGCTTTGATGCTGTTCTTGATAAAGGGGGATTGGATGCATTGATGGAACCAGAAGTTGGTTCAGAGCTTGGAAGCAAATATCTTAAAGAGGTATCTTTGATGGGAAATTTACACACCTAGCACACAATTCTTATGTATTTACATTTCTCACTTCTAAACTTTCATATATATATTTATATAGCACTTTGATGCTTTAAACCTATGCATGGAAATCTGCATTTTATTTTTAAAAATGGTAATAGTGCTAATTTTGATGTGATATTAAATTTTAGGTGTGACATATGTAAATACATAAGAATTGTGTGCTATGTTTGTAAACGCTCGAAATCGAAAAAGTTGACCGACAGACACCTTTATTATTATTTTTTTTTTCCAAAAACTTATTTTATTAGTTACAAATGTATCCATCTGTACAATCTTGATCTAAACAGAAAACAATTGAATGGCCAGGTGAAGAGGGTTGTAAAGTCAGGAGGGAAATATCTTTGCATCACCCTTGCAGAATCTCATGTCCTAGGTGGGCTTCTACTTCATATTAGTGACATAATACTGATGTTTGGATAACTTTATATTCATGCAATTCTTTCCTCCTGTCTAATTTGCTTAAAAAGTGGTAATTACATTGCTAATCTCTCAGTATTATCGTTTTTTTTTTCTTTTTGTGGATGGAATAATTATTTACCATTGTGCTCCTTGAAATAAACTTTAGACATTCTTGATAGACGGTTTTTACGTTTTGGGAACTACCACCCAAATCCCATGTATTTACATATCTAACACCTAGACGTCACCTTTTACATTTGTACCACCCAAATCTTTGAAATATTTACATATCTAACACCCAAATCACTTCAGAAATGCCACCATTTTAACTTTTAAAAAGTGAAATTTACCTTTTCATGCATAGGTAAGGTGGTATGTGTGTAAAGATTGAAGTTTGGATGTTAGATATGTAAATACATAGGAACTGAGTGGTATTTATGTAAGATGTCAAATAGGCAACCTCATTGATTGTCTCGCTTATTAGAAATTGTATATTTAATGAATAACTCTGCAACTGCTTTTGCCTCTAACCAACTTATCCATTTGTTTGTATGCACAAATGCCTCTAGTTTTTTGAGATATTGCATGAGCTATATGCATGCTCCGAGGTCCACATTCATGCGTGCAAATTTTATTTTGTAGATAATACTGTCTAAATTCATATGAAAGTTATTTTACCTTGATTTTGTGTTTAATAATTTTCATTTCTAAATATAGCTTATTGTAACATTTAGACATGATTTATTTTTCTATGTAGGGTTGCTTTTCAAATTGTTTAGATTTGGATGGAAAACAACAATCCATGCTTTACCTAATAAACCTGGTAACAAAACCACCTTCCACACTTTCATGGTCGTTTTTCTGAAAGATCAATTGGGTGCGGTGAACCTGATTGGATCATCATTCGATCAGTCAATTGTGGCCTGCCATACAAAACAGGTTCAGGAATTTAGCCAAGTCATTCGTCTTTTTGATTGGAAGTTTTGCATACATGCCACACAATTCTTATGTATTTACATATCTAACTCCTAAACTTTGAGATTAACATTGATTCCACTCTACCATAACTTCAAAAGGTGTATTCTACTTTTAAAAAGTTAATGATAGTGGTGTTTTTGATGTGATAAGAAAGATTGTAGTGTTAGAAATGTAAAAGTGAAAGTTTTGTTGTTAGGCATGCAAACTCATAAGAATTGTGTGGTAGGGTATGTATGCAGGTGCTCCATCCTTATGACATTTACAGGTTGACTCATTGAAACAGAGTTGATTGTAGGGTATGTCTCCATCTTTAGGACATTTACAGGTTGACTCATTGAAACAGAGTTGATTAATGTCCCGATTCATAATTTTTTTTTTTATTTTCAGACTCAAGCTTTGGTCGATGTAATTAAAATTGAGAATCAAATTCGCAAAGAATACTTGTCGAGCAACGATCTTTTATATTCTTTGAGAGATTTAAGCTTGGGAGCAAAGGGGAATCTGCAGGAGATTCAAGCAGGGCGCAGATTTCAGCTTATTCTTGGTGGAGAGGGAGACTCCCTTTATAGCTACAAGACTGTACTTTTAGATGCTAAGCAGACAGTTAGCCCATTCTTATACAATTGTGCTGTTTTTATTGTTCCAAAGGTAATGTATTTATCTTTTCTATTTTGCATTTTATATCATTATGTTCTATTCTTCCACGTCCTTTTCTTTCAATTCCAAAAGATTATGAGGTTTTAAAAAGAGGTTTGGAGTCTTTTTTTTTTTATTTGCTTCTGAAATTGAATTAGATGCAATGAATTATTATTATTTTTTTCTGTTTCTTATTTACAATACTTATATTTTTAGGATTTTTTAACATAGTGATAGCTTCACTAATATTATTTGGGAAAAATGAAATTCAACAACATCAAGGCATACAGAAGTTCAATATAATTTTCCTGTGGATGTGACGATTCAAATGAACTAGAAATGCTATATCCTTGTAATTTATTAAAAAATTCGAGTATCATAACTACTTACAAGAATTTCATCCATTTTAGTTGAGGGGCATTTACATACATAGCACGCAATTCTTATGTATTTACATATCTGACACCTAAACTTTCATATTTATACACATGTGACGTGATACCCTTCTTTAATATCACATAAAAAATAACACTATTATCACTTCTAAAAAGTGAAATACACCTTTTCAAGCATAGATTTAACGCAGCAAAGTGGTATGTATGTAATTATCAAAGTTTAGTTGTGAGGTATGTAAACACATAAAGAGTTGTTTTCTACGGATGAAAATTTCACTTTAGTTTAATATTTGCAATATTTAATTTGTTTTAACTAGTAAGTTCTTGCTTCTGGCTTTCTGAAAAGAAGAAATATAATTCTACTAGTAATAGTTGTTTATGCTCTTCCTACTTTTTTCTTATGTTACCTTTTATGATCAGCACTCTAGTTTTGTTGAGCTGATTTTGAATCTTTGATCGTGAAGTAAAATAATGGTTCTCTTGATTCTTAAAGATGAGAACTAATTTAAGCTGATTGGCATGTTTAATTCTTACAATTGCATTACTTAATTTTGAATTTACAAAGTTTAGTTTTGTATTACAGATTCGTGCTTGTGAGTGGCTGTTTTCTTCGGAGGAAGGACAATGGCAAATAGTGGAGAGTTCGAAAGCAGCTCGCCTCATTATGGTACATCTTTTAAGGTTGAGCAAGTAATTTCTAACATACTATTTTAGTTTTTCATGTTATGAACTGTTTCTGACAATTGTTAATTTAAGTAGGTTTTCCTTGACATTAGTCACTGCCATGCCACAATGGAGGCTATACAGGTGATTTTTGCTTGTTCTAATATGGTTATATGAGCTTTGAGTAAAGTGTCAGAATGGTCCGCTGACTATTTTCCGCGGGACTCATTTAATCCCAAGTCTATAAAAATGTCAAATTAGTCCTCAGACTCTTTTATTGGGGGCCAAAAGTCCTAAATTGACATTTTTATAGACTCTGGGACTAAAATGCTCTTTTATTGGGGGCCAAAAGTCTTAAATTGACATTTTTATAGATTCTGGGACTAAAATGACCCATGCAAAGAGCCATGGAATCATTTGAATACCATTTTGATAATTTGCATTGGGTCATTTTAAACATAAAGTCTATAAACATGTCAAATTAGTCCCCATACTCTTTTGGTGGAGGCTAAACAGTCATCTATGGGAACACTTTTAGCCCATATTAGAAATATTTGATGAATAAATTATTATTTTTATAGAATCTGGGACTAACATGTTGCCATGCAAAGAGTCAGGGGATCATTTTGACACTTCTCTCTATGAGCTTCTATGCACCACGGACCCTGTCGTTTTGTCTGTTTATCGTGTTCAACTTTTCTTGTGTTTCAGAAAGACCTGTCTCCACTTATTAAAAGCTTGGCTCCTGCGGAGGATTATGGCAATTATCAAATACCGTATGTTTCTTATTGCTTTAATTTTGGTCAACTAAGTTCTTGTTCCGTTTTACATTTGATATAGAGGCTTGCTTGGCTGCATGTTATGAGGTTAGAAGTGAGGGAAGTTGCATGTTTATCTGGTTGATAACTGAGGTTAAAACTGCAATAATTTTTTTTCAGGAGTCATCACATTCGTTTCCATTTGAGTTCGACTCCATATACTCTCAAGGCATTTTCACAACTAGTGCTTAAATGCGATACCCTCCCATTTCATCAAAAGCGTTGTCGCTTGCATGGACACATACATTCGTAAAACTCATGCATGGCGTACTTAATTATATTCTATAATAGTTTTTTTTGTTTATTAAAGTAAAGGGTCATGCATACATACCATGTAATTATTATGTATTTACATATCTAACACCTAACAATTATATTTACATGCTTACCACTCAATTATTTAACATCACATGTACCATATTCACTATCTTTTTAAAAATGAAATGCACTTTTTAATGCATAGGTTTATGACACTGAGATGTTATAAGTGTAAATATCAAACCTTGGATGTTATATATGTAAATACGTAAGAATTGTGTGTTGGTATGGAATATTATATACTTCTAATGCTCCGATCAATTAAAAATCAAAACCACACATCAAATTACGATCACACCGATTCGAAAAATTCGGAACAAAAAATCAAACAAAAGCACAACAAAATAATTTCAGAAAAAACACACCAAGATTTAACGTGAAAAAACCCGATAACAGGAAAAAATCAGTCATATCACCAGAAAATTTTCACTATGAAGATCTAAAAATGTATAGAACTATTCACTTAGATTTCTCTAAAAATCAATAGAATTTATAGTGCGTTGCTCCAAACCCTTCCTCTCGATCTCACGAGAGAAGTTGCACACCAAAATCTTGGACTATTCTTTGCTTCATGAGAGACCTATCTAGAGTAATGCATGCGAGAATTATATTCTTCGTCGCTTTAATCACGAACTTAAGAGCTAAAGAGAACAAACCTTTCGGTGGCGTGGCCACATCGTGAAACAACGTAATTATTTTGCTTACTCGGGAAGAAAGAATTGTGTCGAGCGTCCAACCAGCATAGCTACGCTTGATTGCGTCGTAGTCATGTTGTCCGACATAGCTATGCTAGTTAGATGTGGCTATGCCATCGCTGAAACTATTTCTTTCCTTCGGTGCTGCCTGCAGCGATTGTGGGAATTTTCAGGCTCCACTAATCCAACAATCTCTCACTTTGAGACGTATAGCACCCAACACTTGTCCTCCAAACATGCAACTCCATATGTATCATCTTCATAGTCACGTGCCATGGTGTGGCTTGCTCCTGGTCTCAACATTTATGGACTTCATCTGAAACCAAGTATAACTTCAACTTCTCGATAATCACCACCTTTGTCAAAATATTCGCAGGGTCTTGAGTTGCATGTATCTTCTCCAAGAACAATTGCTCATCTTGTAGGAGATAGCATATAAAACAATACGTTAGTTGAATGTGCTTTGTCATGACATGAAAGCAACGTTCTTGGTAAACTGAATTGTACTCATACAACCACTATGAAGTTTTCAATTCTCTGCTTGCCCAATTTGCCATAAAATCTTGTAGTCAAATCATATCCTTACTAGCTTCAGTGATAACATTATATTTGGTCCCCGTAATTGAAAGTGCAATAATCTTCTGCAGCGTGAAAATCAAACTCATCGTTGTGTTCCTCTAAATGAAGATATACCATGTTGTAATCTTTCCAACATCCAAATCTCATTCCAGATTTGAATCTTCAAAACTTTACAGATTGATTCCCACAGTTCGATGATAAAGTGCTCTATTGGCTATTATCCTCAAACACCTAAGAATTCACTTCATCGCCTCCCTGTGATGCTTTCCTGAATCACTCATATGTCTGCTGACTACTCTCGCTGCATATGCAATATCTAGTATAGTATAAATCATATCTAATACTAAACTTCGAACTATTGAAGCATACAATGTTCTTCCTATCTATTCTTGCTCTGCTTCATACTTAACCGATAATTCTTTAAATAGCTTTAAGTGCTATCCAAGGGGGTGCAAATTGGCTTTACCTCACTCATATTGAATCTTTGTGGGATATTCTCAATATACTCTGCGTAAAACAATTTTAGTGTACCTGTACTCCAATCCCTATTAATTTGCATCCTGTGTATTTTCTGGTTAGACATAAATCCTTCATCTCAAACTCATTTAATAACTACTTTTTTAAGTCTCTGATTTTCTTCATATTTGCCTCTGCAATCAGCATGTCATTCACATACGAAATGAGCAGAATATAATTATTGCTGAAGTGTTTGATGATACAACAATGATCTGCCTAACACTTATTGTACCCACTGTCTGACATAAACCTGTCAAAACCTTCTGTACGACTGTCTCAGGGCCTGCTTCAAGTCATAGAGACTCTTTTTTAACCTTCAGACCATTCCTTTTTTTTCCTAGAACCCTGTAACTCTATGATGCACCATTTATTATTCCTCATTTATATCAACTCCAGACCTAGATCTTCCTCTGCTACTAGATTCATCACAACTTTGACGGTTATAATCTTCAGTATCGGAGAAAAATCTGTGTAGTTTACTCCCTTATGTTGGAACTGCTTCATAACAATTCTTTCATTGTTGTGTCTGCTGCCATCTGACACCTCTTTCAGCATGTTTCATCCATATCAATATAAATTGGTTTACTTGAAGCATTTATGTGGTACAACTTCAAATTATGCACATTTCAATTCTTATGTATTTATATATGTTGCACTCAAACTTCAATTTTTACATACATGCCACCTTACTTATACATGAAAAAGGTGTATTTCACTTTTAAAAATTAAAATGGTGGTATTCTTCATATGATATGAAAGATTTGGGTGATATAAATGTAAAAAGCAAAAGTTCAGGTGTTAGATATGTAAATACATGGGAACTGGGAGGTTTGTATTTAAATGCCCCTAAATATTACTTCAGTTGAGTTGTGTATTGGAGCTTTGTTTCACCCACATCACCCAGTTGATATTGCCTACATAGCATATTTATTTTCATTCTAGTTGTGCTTATTGCAGCTTCAACCTTTTATTAGTTTTCAAAATGTTCATTTGCTTACGTTTATTATAAAACAATAGGTTTATGATGGCAAATGATGGTGTTAAGCAAAGGAAGATTGTCTACCAGGTTTATCTTTCTCTGTTATGCTTATGAAATTTCTCCACTTATACATGATTTTATGTAGGTTTTTTTTCGTTGGTTGTTTCCACTATGTCATTTCGGTTTCTGTTATTTTCTGTACTGTGCATTGCTATTTATATCACTATTTGCTCCAAACAATTTTCAATTCAGATCAACTTGTACATGATTTTATGTAGGTTTTTTCTGTTGTTGGTTGTTTCCACTATGTCATTTCGGTTTGTCTGTTATTTTCTGTCATGTGCATTGCTATTTATATCATTATTTGCTCCAAACAATTTTCAATTCAGATCAACTTAGTTGGTTTCTCAATCCGAAATACTGAAATTTGTAATGTCGCACAACTAAGTTTAATACTCCGGGGTGAGTGTTGAGTACTTTTTTATGTAACGTTTAACAGCACATAAATCATATCAAGCAACATTAAAAAAAAAATACTCAACACTCACTCTTTACATGAATAATGGTATTTTTGATGTGTTATACAACATTAAAAAAAACAAAAATACTCAACACTCGCTCTTTACATGAATAATGGTATTTTTGATGTGTTATGAAAGATTTGGGTGCTATATATGTAAATACATGGGAATTTAGGTGGCATGTATGTAAATACCCCATCATTTTATTATATGTTTACCAATTGTTTGTTAGACAATGGTGATATTTGCTTTATTCTATCAAATAATGTGCGACGCAAATCTCATATTTTTAGCATTTGTACTTTCATTTTGTCATGTAGGCTACATCTCAGACAACAGGGCCAATGATTGTTGAAGATGTAATTTATGAAAATGTTGCTGAAGGCAACAATTCCGATCAAATCCCTCCAGAAAATAAGATTTTTCGTCGCCTAGTTTTTGAGAGAAGCTCGGGATTGGTTCAATCAGAAGCCCTGCTAATTCCTTCTGTAGAAGCATACAGAAGACAGACAAATTTGTCTTCAAAATCCAAGAAAAAGGGTGGCCGTAAAAGAAACGGTTCTTCTGTATCATCTGACGGTATTATAAAGCCTCGCATCTTCATATCAGTTTACATTTAATTTCTTTCTAGTTCGTTTATACATTTTGTCTATAAAAGTTAGGAAGATTTACATACATACCACTCAATTCATATCTATTTACTCATCTAACACCGAAACTTCAATCTTTACATGCATACCACCTTACATATATGCCTAAAAAAAGTGTAATTCACTTTTTAGAAGTTAAATTGGTGATATTTTTAATGTGGATATGAAAGATTAGGGTGGTAAAACTGTGAAAAGCAAAGTTTAGGTGGAGATATGAAAATACATAGATATTGGGTGTTATGTATGTAAATTCCCCAAAAGGTTAATATATTTATCCTGCAATGTGGAAGATTGCTGACACTGTATTTCTTATTGTGCCACCACAACAACAACAACAACAACAAAGCCTTAATCCCACTACGTGGGGTCGGCTACATGAATCCTTTTTCTCCATTGCGTCCTATTTAGTGTCATATTTTCATTTAGTTCTAGTAAATTAAGATCATTTTTAATACAATAAGCCCAAGTCTTCCTAGGTCTACCTCTGCCTTTCTTAACACAAGTCGAATTTAAAACATCTACTCTCCTAATCGGATCATCTAATGGTCGACGTTTAATATGACCAAACCATCTATTGTGCCACCATCAGTAAATTTTTTATTTTTTGAGATATTACAGCCTTGTAGCATTTTTTGAGAACAAAACTGAAAAACAAAAAATTGACAACTTTGCGTGATGATTCTCCTTGTTTTTGGTGCATTTATGATGCTACTAGTTCAGCATCATGAATTATGACATGAGATTTACAGATCATATGAATCATTTTCTGTAGCAAGTAATCCAAGAAATATTTGCCTTGAACCTTGAAGGTCTCGCAGAAAGGATTTGAGGAAACTAGGACAATCTACAGTGTGTAATGAAAATGTTTTCGTACCGTTGTGCTCTCTTCTGAGGGGCATAAATTTCCAAGTTATTTGGGCATAGCTGCAAAACATTAGCATGAATGTGAAAATTAGAATAGAATATCATTTTGTACTGTTCTTTGTGCGGCACATTAGAATTAGGCAATATAAAGGTTGATGAATTCCTCCAATGCAACTATCCAACTTGAATTTACTAATAACATCCCCATCTATATCACCATCACTTTGAACAATAGAACAGAGATATCTAAAATGTAACTTTAGTTAGTTTGGATTTGATCATTAAGATAGATAAATGTAATTAATTTGGAAAAAAAATAATTAATTTTACATTGAATTTCATACCTTTAAAAAACTCACCTTTGCAAAATTAGGAGCGAAATGCAATATGGAGATTGACAATAGCTCTCTGGCTAGCTCTTACCACAGCGGAATCATTTCTGGCTTTTCTCTGGTTTCCTCTGAATTGCAAAATGCAGTCTTATTGCAAGAAAGGGTAATTCACTATAATTAACTTTACATTGAATTTCATACCTTTAAAAAAGTCTCACTCTTCTTATAGTTTTTTAAAAAACTCACCTTTGCAAAATTAGGAGCGAAATGCAATATGGAGATTGACCATAGCTCTCTGGCTAGCTCTTACCACAGCGGAATCATTTCTGGCTTTTCTCTGGTTTCCTCTGAATTGCAAAATGCAGTCTTATTGCAAGAAAGGGTAATTCACTACATTGGAGCCGATAAATAGTAAGATTTACATACATACCACTCAATTTCTATGAATTTACTTATTTTACACCTAAAATATAATTTTTACAAACATACCATACCACCTTACCCATCTATGAGAAGTTGCATTTCACTTTTTAAAAGTTAAAATGGGGGTAATTAAAGTTTCGGTATTAGATATGTAAATGCATAGGATTTGAGTGGAATGTATGTTATTTCTAGATTTAAACACTTGATTGATGATTGATAAAATTATATAATGCTCGCAGGTCAAAGTGATTGTAGTTGGTCTTGGTGCTGGCCTTTTTCCAACTTTTCTTCACATTTGCCTTCCAATTTTAGACATTGAGGTTAGTCTTTAATAATATTTCAGCCTGCTTTTCGGAGTTTCATCTCTCATCTCTTACGCAGGTTGTTGAGTTGGATCCTGTTGTCTTGGAACTCGCGAAGAATTACTTCGGCTTTAAAGAGGATGCACAATTGAAGGTTATTTTCTTTGTTCTAATTGTTTTTTTAAAAAAGATTGACATACATACCACTCAATTCTTATGTATTTGCATATCTAACTCTTAGATTTTAATTTTACACATGTCACCTTATCTATATATGTATATGCGTATTTCACTTTTTAAAGTTTAAAATGGTGGTATTTTTTACGTGATATTAAGGGTTTGTGTGCGTATGTAAAGATTAAAATTTAGTTGTCTTTTTCCTATGTCAAATAAAAAAAACATTCTTGCATTTACATGAAAGATTGACATACATGCCACTCAATTCTTATGTATTTGCATATCTAACTCTTAAATTTTAATTTTACACATGTCACCTTATCTATATATGTATATGCGTATTTCACTTTTTAAAGTTTAAAATGGTGGTCTTTTTTTACGTGATGTTAAGGGTTTGTGTGCGTATGTAAAGAGTAAAATTTAGGTGTCTTTTTCCTATGTCAAATAAAAAAACATTCTTGCATTTACATGTGCTGAAATTGACTGAATTATACTTCATGCATCTTTAACCTTTTTTCTATCTCCACAATTTTGAGAAACTCATTTGTCTGTCAAACAATTTTATTTGAAATAATCTAATTTGCATAAGTTTCCATGTGTGTGTTTCAGTTCTTACTTCTGTTAGTTTTCTAAGCTTTTCTGCTTGGAATTCCCAAAAACTTGAACAAATGTGGGTTGTTTGCATAATTTTAGTAATTTGTTTCCTTCAGGTGCATATTGGTGATGGAATTAAGTTTATTCAAAACGCAAATATAAATTCAGAAATCAAGGGCTCTGTTGCAAATGGTGGAAAGAATGGTGATATGATGAAAATCATCATTGTTGATGCTGATTCATCTGATCTAAGGTTATCTATGTTACTGCAATATTTTTTGAAAAATAGCCGTTATTTGATTTTTTTATTTTTTTATTTATTTTTTTATTTATTTTCAGTTCTGGGTTAGCATGTCCTCCAGCAGGTTTTGTGGAAGAAGCATTCCTTTCTTCAGTGAAGGATTTCCTTTCTGCTGGAGGCCTATTTGTGATTAATTTGGTGTCCAGATCCTCAGTTATTAGGCAAATGGTCATTTCTAGATTGAAAGCAGTAAGTGCCTCGGAACGAAAAAAGTGTTAAAATGGTCCCCAATTATTTGCAGCGAGTCATTTTAGTCCCAGACTTTTGAAAAATGTCAAAATGATCTCCCAACTTTTTTAATAGGTCTTGCAACAAAAGTTGATGTTTAGGGTGTAAATAATTGGGGTCTTTTTTGGAATTTATATATATATATAGTAATTTTAAGTCATTACTAACCTTAATGTAATTCCATTGTAATGATATTAATGACATTCAATTAAGGTTAGTAATGAACTAGATTTATTAAAAAAAACAAAAAGAAAATATAAAATTTAAAGACTACTTACTTTTAAAACCCTAAATATCAATTTCCGTTCAAAGTTTTGGACTAAAATGACTCCCTACAAACAGGAGATCATCTCGGCACTTTTCGTCATAATATGAAATCACCAAGCTTTTAAGCTACAACTTGTCTAACTATTTCAACTCGTGATCATCGTCTCAGGCTTTTGACCATCTCTTTTCATTGGAACTCGAGGAAGATGTGAACGAGGTTCTCTTCGCTTCTTCGACGAGCACATGCTTACACGAAAATGATCTTCGTAATGCCGTCGATCCGCTTCAGAATTTGTTAAAGGTTCCACTGCCAAGCTTACTGGCACAGGCTAAGACAATCAGGCATTTGAAGTAGAATCTATGTGTTTGCTGAAACAAATTTTCAGCAGCAGTATATGAATCTATACTTTTAGTTTAAGCTCTGCAAAATTTTGCTTTTTTTACATTTATATCAACTAATTATTTCAAAAATGTCACTGTTTTAGCTTTTAAAAAGTGGAATACACATTTTGATGCCCATGTAATATGGTATACATGTAAAAACTGAAGTTTAGGTGTTAGATATGTCAATACATAGGAACCAAGTGGTATGTATATTTGTTTTTCTTTTAATGTGATGAATGTAAAATGTAAAGTTTTGGTGTTAGATATGTAAAAATGTAAGAATTGAGTGGTAAAGTGTATAAATGCCCCCCCTGATCTTGTTCATCTTTATCTCTATCTCACTAATTTTATATATGGGGCATTTACGTACGTACCACCCAATTCCTATGTATTTACAAATTTAACATCTAATCTTTGTTTTTTTACATTAGACCACCCAAGTATTTCATATTACATAACGAAATGCCGTCATTTTAACCTTTAAAAATTGAAATGAGCCTTATCATGCATGGGTAAGATGGTATATTTGTAAAGATTGAAGTTTAGTTGTTAGTATGTATCTTAAGAGTGTCCAATCAATTTTTTAGAGATTTAACAACTTGTTACTATGTATCTTAAGAGTATATATATATATTTGGTAATGAATCATTAATAGATAATAATTATTAAGTTTTTACATGTTATCAAATTAATTATAATTAGATAACTTTATATGAATCTATTTAATAATTAATAAATAAATAATAAATTATTCTATAAAATTTAATTAATTTTATAAAATAATAATTATTATTATTATTTTTTATTACAAAAATAATTATTATTTAATGAATGTTAAAATATCATTTAACATAATAATTTAAAAATATTATTATTATTATTTAATTAATTCAATATATATTTAATTATTAAATAATTGAATTAAAAATAAATAAGTTAAATTAAAATTAACTAAACTTGATAATTATTTCATTTATATGTAATATTAAACTCATACTTCAACTAATAAACTTAGATCCTGAAATAATTACCAAATAATTTTAGATAATTTAACTCTAATTTAACATTCATCTTATTAAATGATTTGATATGTAAATAATCAGGAACTGGGTGATATGTATGTAAATATGCTCTTGAATTTATAGACATGAAAATCCTTGTTCACATAAACACCCCTTCTAGCCAGATAACAATTTAGAGTATTAGACGTGCACTTATTCGTGGTATAGTTTGTCCCCCTTTTGAACTAATGCACTTTATTCAAGCTCGATTAAGACCCAATTATATTCGTTCAAATTAGTAAATAAATTAACCAGAACAATTTTGAAAACTTGAATGTTGAATAACTGAACATGAAAATATTCGAACTTATTTATTTATGTTCACGAACAAATTTGTTTGTTATTCAACGAGTAACTTGTTGAATTCTCGATAGTAAGTTTGAACATAACTCGTATTATGTATGATGTATTATTAAAAAAAAATTGATTAACTATTTAATTGTAGAAATTGCAATATATTATTATATCAATAATATTTAATTCTTAATTATATATTTATTTTATTATTAATTATTAATTTTTTTTAAATTAACATAATGAAATTCTGAAAGTGAACATAATTTTATTCATTCATTTTTATTATTTTTGATCTGATTGTCTTTGATTTTTCTTAATTATTTATATAATTGATGAATGATTTCACATTATAAGTTAATTTCTACTATTAGTTCATTTAATTTTTTTTTTTGCTTTTTTTTTCAATATATTTTTTTTCTATATTAGAGTTTCTTGTGACAATATATTTATTATATTCATTTGTTTATATAATTTATTTAATTGCTTACTTATTTAAGTTTATAAAATCATTTATTATAAATTTTATTTGAAAATCTAGCTCATTTAAATAGTCCCACTTATTATAAACAAATCAAGTATAAATCAAATTCAAATAATGACAAATTTAAAAGAATCAAATTCGAACAATATGTGAAAGCTCGCTTGAACTCAAGTCGAACAAGAACAATTTAGGGTGTGTTTGGGGCAACTTGTGCGTTTCACGATAAATCTATTTATCCTGAAACGCGGTCTGCGGGTCAACTGCGGGGTTTCGACCCGCGGTCTGCGTTTAGTATAAAAATGAAACCGCATTTTTGGATAAGCGGGCAAAACGCACGATCCAAATGATACCAAATAATACCGTGGTGTTTTCAAAACGCCCACGCATAAGTGCTGCCTCAAACTAGCCTTTACAATTATAAAAGCCAAGTCCAAATTATGTTGCGTATTTTGGCCCATTTGGTTGTCTTTGGATCAAGTCCGATTATCCCAAAGAACCCAATCTTCCATATTTATTGATGACTCACTCAGTTACTCTCCCTCCTGTGCTGAATCGTTTGGTATGACGTCCATTTATCAAAAGTTCAGAACTTTAAAAAGCTGGAATCTTTACCGATGATCAGAAGTTCAGTTATTTGAAAAATGGAGTGATCGAATAAAAAATCAATTTTTTGAGCAATACTTTTCAATCCCAGCCATGGCTTACATTCCCCCTCACAAGCGGCATCACAAGGATGGCGACCGATCAGCTCCCACCCCTTCACCAATTCCCATCTCTCTCAACCCACGCTTCAAGGAAACCCTAAATCTCGGTTCTAGTCGCCGTCGGCAAGATCGCCATGGTGCCGGAAAGATCGTATACGCCGCAGATTCCATCTTCCGGTGGTGGCCTGTCGGTGCCGCCGCCGACGGCGACCCTATCCCTGTCTCTTTCCGGCTAGAGCCTTTTGACTGGGAGACCATAGAGCAGAGGGATGGTGAAAAGCCGCTGGTTCTCGTGAGCGGCGGGGGATTGGAGGAGAGTGCTGGTGAAGAGCAGGATACGACGCCTTGGGTTTCGATAACGGAGAGGGTGGTGCCTGACTTGATCGCGGCTGCGGCGAGTGCGAGAGACGAGCTGAAGCATGGTGGAGATGAGGAGGCGAAGCTGTACTTTATGGCTAAATCTGGAAAGAATGTCTTCCCTGGGTAAGATGAGATGGTTGCCTTTGCACGAACCTAGAAGAAAAGTAAATCTTTTGTTGAATTGTGGTGGAAATCGCAAATCACTCTTCTTTGTTATGTTTTGCAGTTTTTTGTTTGTTTGTTTTTAGTTTTCTAGTTTGGATTAAGTGTAGAGTAGGATTGTTAACTGTCTTATTTCGAGCCGTGTTGGGATCGGCTTAAAATCGGCTCTAGAAAAAAATTGATTCAAAATATTAGCTTGTAACTCGGCTTGTTTATTTCTATCAATTCTCGTTCCGAGCCAAAATTTGAATAAAATTTTGAGAGATTGATGATCTTCGAGCTAAATTCAATAAATTCATAGCTCTAACATCACGAGCGTTGTTAAGTATTCGATTTCAAGCTGATCTGGGGTCTTTTATTTTGATCTGAGCCAAAATTCATATTAATTTTTGATCGATTAACAATCTTCGAGCTAAATTCAGATTTAAAAATAACTAGGGTTTAATATAAGGAAGATTTACACTTAATATAATCTTAAGTGAGGGTTGGTGTAGAGTAAAACAAAATTTAATTTTGAAGACACAATTAGGGAGATATTGTGATGTGGGAGGTGGTTCGTTGAGATTGCGTGGAATTGCAGATCCAGCTATGGTCCTGAGCAATTTTGGATCTGTGCTTCGGGATCACGAACAATAACGCAATTCTGGGTTCTAAACAGTCACAAGTCCGCTTGCTTATCAAATTCAATAAAATTTGTTTATCTGTTTTGATTTTTGTTTTCCTTTTCTTTTCAGGATTTTTACATAACAACCACTCAAAATATTTGATATAACATTCTAACCAACTAACTAGACTTATTTCCCATCAGAAAATTATCTACGAGTTCGTTTTATAGTTTGAAGGCAGCTAGCTTTTTTTTTACGTAATTTGAGGATTAAAGATTTCTGCCCAAGGACTTGTTGTATTCTCTTAGGGTCTGTTTGGCGCAGCTGCAGCTGCGCAACCTCAGAAAGCTGCTGCGGGGAAGCAGCTGCGGGGAAACGGGCTATCTGTTTGGTGCAGCTGTGTGAAAACAGATGTGGGGCAGCTGTTTCTGAAGAAATGACCAAGGTGTCCCTGTTTGGTAAAACTGTTTAAAAAATTTATGTATATATGTAAAAAATTTAAATATGTAATTGCAAATTGTATTTGTAATAAATATATTTTATGGAATATGATAGTCAAACAATAAAAACATCTCGAGTTTGCTATATAAATATTAAGGCCAAATCACTACTAATCAGACTGAGCATTGTAGCAAAAAACATGGTTTGAACTAGTTCAGTTTCAACCACAGCATAATTATGAAAATTAATTTGTCAACACTAGCAATAACCTTTCAGAGTAGTTCAAACTTCATTGGGTCATAAAACAATTTAAGACCTAAACTATACATATTTATACACACAATAAAATGATCCATCCATATTAAAAAGATATCTCAACAGCTCTACAGAAGATAATAACATTAAAAGCTATTTCAACAGCTCCATCCATATTAATTCAGAATGAACTCTGAAGCTGATATGATCATAGGTTCTTAAGATGAACTCATAAATACAGCAACATATTTCTTAACAGAAAAATCGTGCATTAAGATGAACTCAAATCTACATTCTACATCCATTTTGCACAGCAGAAAATAAAAAAAAGATTGCAGAAAATAAGTGAAAAATCCCTCCAACGATGGAAATCAAATTTGCAATGAACACAAATGCGAGAAAACAAATCCCTTTCATACATATGCCAGAGAAATCCTTATAAAATATTAAACTCCATACAAAATTCAGATCGCAATGAACACAAATGAGAGGAGATCAAGAAAACAAGTGATCGCAAAACAAATGAGAGGAGATCGCAATGAACTCCATATTTCCATCGATTACAGGTGATCGATTACCTGGCCGAAGGCGAGAGGCGAGAGGCGAGAGGGCTGGTCGAGACGAGATGGGAGGGCGCGGCAATGAACTCCATATTTTCATCGATTACAAGTGAAGGCGAGAAGAGATCGATTACTTGGTCGAAGGTCAAAGGCGAGAAGCGAGAGGGCTGGTCGAGGCGAGAGGAGAGGGCGCGGTCGTGGGGGAGGGCGGGAAGGCGAGAGGCGAGACGGGCGCGGGAAGAAGAACGCTAGGGCAGAGGCGGCAATTTGGGGGATTTTTCGGGCGAAAGCAGGTATTTAGCGGGCGAAAGCTGGGGCCGCGGGGTCAATCCCGTGGCCCGCTTTCCGCCCGCTTTGACGTCCTTCTGCCGCGAAGCCGAGGGCCAAACAATAACATCTCGAGAGCCAAACAATAACTTTTCACGATTTGTTACCGCGCCGCGTGATAAAAGCTGCGCCAAACAGAGCCTTAATTTTACAAGTGGTGTGTCTGTAGTTTATTCAGGAATTGGTGGTGTAACCTCCTTAACGTCCTTACCTTGCCCTTTGTGGTTCTCCACATTTTCTTTTGCCTGAACAACCGCCTTATCCCCCTTCCAAATATCGTCAAACTCCCGTAGTTTCATTCCCATGTTATTCCACAACCACCTCTCCGTTAAATTCATCTCTTATCATCTTTTAGGAATCCCAGAATGATGTCGTCACCTGCAAACATGCTTACCCCCCTTCCAAATGTTGTCAAACTCGAATATTCTTGTTCCCTTCTCATTCTACGACCACCTCGCTAAATCCACCTCCTAAACACCTTGTAGGAATACGACCACCTCGCTAAATCCACCTCCTAAACACCTTGTAGGAACTCTTAAATGGTGTCATGTAGTATCAGAGCTCTGTAAACCAAAATTTTTTAGGGTTTTGTTTTTCCTACATCTAAACTTAAAATTTAATAACTTAAACCTCCACAAAAAGCCGCCTCGACACCCACCAACAAAATCCTAAGCACTCAATCAATCTTTGATTTACAATCCTACATATGTCAAAATCTTGACCAGTAGAAAAATACAAAATATTGGCTACGAGAAACACTGAAAGAGGTGTCTAGAAGCCATCAGCTGCAATAAAAATTTATTGCATTTGAGAGGCGACAACCTGATAATGTCCGCATAGCCACAACGGTGACTCGCAAGATCAAGATGAGGAAGTGAATCTCCTTCACCAAAAAGCTTTAAGTGACGAAGAATCGGTGCCACATCGATTTGGCAATAAATATTAGAGAAGAAGCCAAGAGGAGTAAAGATGAATTTATCAAATTTTGAAGGTTGTATGGATTCAAACAATTTTTTCGAGTGACTCTAAACAGTAAAACAAATTTCTGAGTACGGAAGGTGTTCCTCAAGAAAAAAAAAGTTAAATTAACAATCATTAAAGTCAACAAGGATGCTTCTTTATGGTGGAAAAAATTAAAGCATCTTTGACAGTAGAGATGAAAGAGTAAGATAATTAATTAGTTTAAGATGAAATGGGAAATTTTGTGCAAAGACCTTCTCTCATATTATTGAGAAGATATATTTATAGAACTCCACAACTTGTGCTGGAGAGATTCTTCTATGGAGAAGTACATAGTTGAGTTCGATCATTTAATGTTGGAACGTGAGTTGGATGAATCTAAAAAGCACATAATGACGAGGTAACTTGGATAACTAAGATAATCTATCAATATTCGGTGAAGTTGTTGTCGTATTGGTCCCTACTCGATGCACACATTCTAGCTTTAAATGTAAAAAAAATAGCAACATCACCTGGTAATCGTCACATCTTATATACACAGTCAGCCATAAGATCAAACAAGAAAAGTACACCCAAGCCGACCCCTCCTGAGGAAAAATCATTTTTGAGTGGTAAAATGGTGAAGATCACTGACACTCTAAAATTTGTTTCAGCCAGCAAGTGTTTTAAGTGTGATGGTTTTGGGCATATTGTATCCGATTGCCCAAATAGATTGGTGGTCTCTTTCATTGAGAAGCGAGCAGCTGAAGAAATAGATAGTGACACAAAAGAGAATGAAGATGTCAGAGTGGAGTATCAGCTTCCAACCAACGAGGGAGAGATGTTGATGATTTGATGAGTCCTTCAAGTTGAGCACATGACGAAGCAATATTGGATTGGCAACATCTTTCTTACCATTTGCATTGTGAAGGGAATTATATGCAATATCATTATCAATGGATACAGTCACGAGAATGTGTTGTCTACCCAAATGATCGACAAGTTAAACTTGGTCACACAAGAACACACTCGACTTTATTCTATATCTTAGTTAAAGAAATGGAATATGATCATTGTTGATAGAAGATTTCTCATGAAATTTTATATTGGATACAAGTTCTAGGAGCAAATGTGGTGTAACATGGTACTCGGGGATGTGTGTAATGTCCTATTAGTCGTCCTTACTATACGATCGTTACACATATGATTATTACAAGAGCATATATTCTTTTTAGCAAAGATGAAAAGTGCATTGTACTCTCGTCTTGAAAGGACTCTAACCAGACCTATGCGCATTTAATACAAATGTATGTATCATTCAACTAATATTAATGATTTAAGTCCAAGATCATTTCCATGAGGATTTAAGTAAACGTCAATTGAGAAATTTTAAATTTCAGAATTTAAGTACTAATTCACAAACACTACTTTTTATTCAATTAAGAGAAAATTTATTTTTTTTTTGAAAAATTTCTAATAATAAAAAATCAAATAAAAATCTTGATTTGTAAATTATCAACACAGATTTCAGAAATTTTAAATTTCAGAATTAGGTTATTGTCAATCAAGAACAAAATTAACTTCTAGTCTCTATCAATAACTAAAACCCTAATTCTAAAGACCCAAAGAATTATATGCATGTGCACTTTAAAATAACAGAATGGAATTTTCTATCTCCCTATTTGATTTGTTAGAGTTTAGTAGGTATACATCCATTCTGCAAACCTTAGTTGCTTTACTCCATTTATTCATTTGGACTTCGTTTATAGCACAACATCATAATTCATTTTAGACACATGAATAATTATTCTACATGCTAAATTAGATTAGAAGAAAAATAACTATTTATTTGCATTATTATGATATGAAACAAAACAATTTTCCACAAAAATTAGGGTAAACAATTTCATCAAAACAAAACACAATTTTAATACATAAAGATAAGCACCTACAATTCGAGATGGAGGCGATCTCTCCCAAATTCTTGCCCTATGGCTCAAGACAATAATCTCACATCATAATCCTAACCCTAAACATGTTAGCCTTATTTATACCGCATAATAATAAATAATAAAAGTGTAAATTGCCCTTAGGCGCATAAAAGACTAAGTTGACCTTATGCGTCGGTCTAACAGATTCTAGCACGAAAACTCTAAGATATATTTAATCTACTTGATAATTAATAAATTCAAATACCCAAGCACTTAGCCTAACATGCTCTTCAACAAAAACCTATAATTTTTTTCATTTCAACCACACAAATACAAAGCACGATACAAGAATCCAAGAAGGTAAAAAGGAAATAATTAACCTGACTCTCTTAATTATAATCTCCAAATTGCTCTGTGATGTCATCCCCAAATCTTTCTCCTTGCTCCCATTCTCTTCCTTGCATTCTCACATTTTCTTTGGGGCTAGTGGCACATGCTCACACTCTACTTAATACTCCCTCAAGCCTCCCATATAACACACTCATATACACTCTTAAACCCCAATCAGTACTTCCTGTATGTCCACAACTCCTCTTCCCATTTTGAAATTTTGAATTAAAGTCAAATAACTGCTTGATTTGGCATCATGCCATGGCACTCTAGCTACATCATTGCGGCACTGGCACAGCGCAGCGAGGCTTTAGTGTCAATGCTACTGTGTTGAGCTCTCTAGCTTTTGGCTTCAAGTGCAATCCACGTTAGCGTTGTGACACTATGGAGCCTAGTGTTGTGGTGCTTGATAATGACGCTGTGACGCTCTGGTCTAGCATTTTGGCTCATTGCTCTTGGGAATCTTGTTGGGAAAATCTCTAACATAGCGTTGTAGGGTTGAGGTTGGTATTGCGACACTGTCACTTCAACTTCTAAAATCTTTAATATTTTTCTCTTATAGGTTTTCCTGCAGACAAAACAAAAATTAAAGCAATATTGGTAGCAAAAATATGAAGTTATGATAGATATTAAGAAACTTTTTGGTATTTTTCTCACTCAATAGAGTTAGAGGTAATGGGCATTCATAAGGAGTATGAGCATGTGGTGGCATGAACTATATTTTTGCATGTCTTGAAAAGAGTACTAGCAGGACTAGCATTGATTGTCCAAGTGTGCAATGAGCTCGAGGAGTTGATACCAGATATATAGCTGCTCTACTAAGAGGATTTCAAGATTTTCGGACGTGTAATCTACCTCCTAGGTTGTCATTGCTAAGGAGTGTCTAATGTGCCATCACTTCAGGTACAGATGAGGAGTTTTGAGCTATTGTTGGAACGTTCCATAGAATAAGTTGGATACCAAGTGTTAGTTCAGTTCAAGAGTGCAGTTCCAGAAATGTGGCTAGATATGCGTGTTAGACTGCTACTTTGAAATTTTTTGTAAGTGTTTTGTGAGAAAAAATATTAGACAATGACATCCGGGTGTTTTCAAATGAGATAAAAAGCCTCTTCTTGACCGGGAGAATGACGCATGAGCTGGCTCCACAGGATTTAGTGGTCACAAGAGCATGTCATCACTCAAGTGTACCCTCCTCTCCATCTGCATATCACCGTTTGTGCTTTTGTCGGCTGTTTTCAATGCGGACAGCAGTCGAACGGCCTATCTCCCTTTCAATCGGCATCAAACTCCCATATTTTCATTCCTATATTATTCCACAACCACTTCCCCGCTAAACTCACCTCCTAAACACCTTCTAAGAACTCTAGAATGGTGTCATCGTCATCGAACGCCCTTATCCCCCTTCCAAACGTCATTGAACTCCCACATTCTCATTCCCTTGTTATTCCACAACCACCATCCCTCTAAATCCACCTCCCAAAATACTTATTGGGACCCTAAAACTGTGTCAGCTTTTTTCCATGGTTAATTGATCATTACACTAATTCCAACTATATATTTGATCTTGGCTTTATTAATGCTCCTCCATTTTATCCTCTTCTTATGGTTGTTCTCTGCCATTTTTTTATATGCCCAATTCATCCAGTTCTATTTTTCATTTCTTATCTTCAATAAGTGTTGTTTTTGTTGTATAACCATTCTTACTCAATCTTAAGTTTATTTTAATGAATAGATTCATTTCTTTTAGAGCTTGTGATTACATTCACAAGTTTATGTGTTGGATTTGTAAATATAAAAGAATGGTGTGGTGTGTAAGCAGATGCTCCTTTAATTTTTTCATGTTGTATTGTTTGCGGGATTAATGGAGATTTACAACCAAATACAATTCTCAGCGCATAATAATTACAATAACATGGACCAAAATAGAGTCCAATCAAATTAATGAATTGTTGGTTTCTTTTTCACTGCAGAGGTTCTTCAGTTAGCCTCGATTACATCAAGAAGGCTGCATCTGCACCAATTAATTCTACCAACAAACTGCGCAAAATATTCTGTACAAATGTTCCACATTCACACATGGAAAATGCCCAAATTACGGTTGCTCCCAAAATTGGTCTTTCATTTCACTCTCAGAAAGACCATTATCATATTCTGGTATTTGCACATTTAATTGTTTGTTTTCTATTAGTGCAGAGATATCCTTACTTTTACACTTTTATCTTTTTAAATTAGATTTCTGATAAGCACAGACCAGATTTAACAATTACATGCAAGTGTACCATTACAGAGAGTGGACAACTAAGATTGTACAAGGTAACCATTTTTTTTTCTTATGATTTCTTATAGGGGCTTTGGTTTATAATGCAACTCTTTTGTGAGATCATATATTATGTTTAATTGCATATTTTTATTAATTGTGGAATCAAAACTTCATTAACTATCTTGAATGAGACTTGTCCGTTTGGGGCAGCTTATAAGTGCGGGCGGCGTTTTGAAAACGTCGCCGTACCTTTTGGTTCGCGCGTTTCGCCAGCTTATCTGAAATTGCGTTTCGGTTTTTACACTAAACGCAGGACGCGGGTCGACCCCTGCGGCCGTCCCGCGGTCCGCGTTTCAGGATAAGCAGCTTATCCTGAAACGCACAAGCTGCCCCAAACGGACCATTTAGAATTATTCAGGATAAGCAGCTTATCTTGTTTTAATTTAGAATTATTAAAAGTTGAGGGTTCATTTCAACAATATGAAATTTCTAACACAAAGCTTTGAATAGATGTTATCATAAAGTCTTAAATAGAGGCTACCACAAAGTTCTAAATAGATGTTTTTGAATGGTGGTTGATTTTTAATATTATAAAATGAAATTTTTGTTATATAAATTATATAATCTTTAACTACAAAGCATCTCACAATAAGAAAAACCAAGAAGAAGGCATAAAAAGAAAAAAAGAGAAGAGGAGTGTCATTAAAGAAGAAAAGAAAAGAATTTTTTTCAGAGTGCTTGTAAACAAGTTCTTTGGTTTCTTTAAGAAGGAAAAGAGTGTTGCTATTAGCCATTCTAGCAAGAGAAAAAGCTCTTGATCATAAGTAATAGTAGTCCTAATTTGAACTCTTGTAATAGAGGGGCAATGACAGTATCTCTTTCTTCATGTTTAGCCCTTGTTTTCATGCATGGTTTAAGTAGTATAAATGTAAATATCAAAGTTTAGTTGTTAGTTTTGTAAATACGTACAAATTGTGTGGAATGTATGTAAATCTTCCTTTTTCGTTTTGCATTGTAGATTGAAGAAAATATAGTGCGGCATCTGGTGGCTGACATTTCTTGCCTCTACAAGAAGCTCGATCTTCGGCTTTTTCTGTTCACCAGAAGAAAAATGAAAATCATAGATGTGAGACATTTGTCATATTGCGTAATTGTTAACTAAATTTTGCTTGCAAAACTATTTTTTTTTTTTTAATTTCTAACCTTCTTCCCAGAATGAGGAAAATGAAGCTCTAAACAAGATAGTAATGTCTGCTATAATAGATCCAGATGTGAAAGGAGGGCTCAGATGGCCTATAGGTAAGCAATATTATGGTGAGCGGTTCAGTGTTGTGGGAGCTTGGCATACCAAATGTATTACTTTAAGGAGCGATAAGATGAGGCTCGTCCTAAGGCACGCTGATCGATTTGATTATATGAAGTCGACTGGAGAGGTTGCTTCTGAATTATCTTTGAAAATGATTGAAATTGCCAGGCTCTTGAAGGTGAGTTTTGTGTGGCATTTACATAAATACCATCAAATTCTTTTCTTTTTAAATATCTAACATAAAAAATTTCCTTTTTGCATTTTTACCGCCCAAATCTTTTAGGAGAATACTTATGTATGTACATATTTCACACCTAAACTTTCATATTTACTTGCATTTTGGTGCTTTAAACCTATGCATAAAAAGTATATTTCATGTTAAGAAAATGGCAATAGTGTTTTCTTTTTTGATGTAGGTGTAAATATAAAAGTTTAGGTGTGAGATATGTAAATACATAAGAATTGTTTGCCATGTATGTAAATGCCCCATCTTTTATATCACATGAAGAATACCAATATTTTAACTTTTAAAAAGTAAAATACACATTTTCATGTGTAGATAAGGTGACACGTGTAAAAAATAAAAGTTTAGGTGTTATATGTAAATACATAAGAGTTATGTATGTAAATCTTCCTTTCAATTTTTTCTTGTGGTCTCTATAAAGGAGATTTTGTGTTGCCATTTTTCCATTGCCATTATTTTCTTCATGCGCATATTGAATTTTATTGTGACTAAAGATGATTAATGTTTTTATGGAGTTGAAAATCAACCTTTAAACATACTGGATCCATTATTTTATGGTAATAATTAGGTATTTATTCGAGCTTGAGCTCGGTTATTGAAAGCCTCTTCAAGCTCGATTTGAGCATTTATAAATGTGTTAGAGCTCAAGCTCGTTTAAAATACTCTGTTTGAGTTCGGTTCATATTGGGTTTATTGAACTTATTAACAAGCAGCTTTTTAACAAATTAAACGAATCATGTCGAATAAAGCTTGTTGAGCGTAAAAAATAAATATTTAAGGGCATTTACATATACAGCACCCAGTTCTTATCTATCCATATATTTCACATTTAAACTTTCATATTTACAAACATCACTGAAAGCTTCAAAATCATATTAAAAATAGCACTATTACCGCCTTTTAAAAGTGAAATACACTTTTTCATGGATGGGTTTTAAGCACCTAAGTGTTTAGGTGTGGGTTATGTAAATTCATAAGAATTGTGTGCTAGATATGTAATTTTTCCAATATTTAAATAATACTATTCATGAACTAGTTGTAATCAAGTTCTTAACGAGTTTATTCATAAGTCTTAAACCACACTATGCATGAACATAAATGAATTGAACAATAATCTGTTCAAGTTGTTCATTTATCAACTGAATAATTATGAAATTGCTCGAGCTTTTTCGATTAGATGATCTTGAGCAAACTCTTATCTACTCGAGCAATGAATAATTTGTTGGATACTTTGTTCATTTACATTCCTATTTTTTGGATTTTGGATTGTCTTGTGTAAACACGCCTAGAGAGTTAGAGTCAAGTGAATGAGAGAATAAAGTGAAACAAGAGTTATTGTGGAGAAAACCGGGGTGTTCCCTTTATCGTTTTTTTGCATCTTATTTATAGAGGCGTATTATGTACAATTACAGAAAGGAGGGAACATTTGTGGGAATTGTTCTTAATATGGTTAATACTCTAATAAATTATTTGGATTTCATTTCATATTGGTATTAAAATTTGAATTTTGATATGGAGGTAATTAGTTGATCGATTCTCTAGAATGCGATCATCTTGTGTTTGATCGGCCGAGGCGTTCGGTCGAATGACAACCTCATCCACCGCGGCAAAAGCAGTCGGGTCTTGTCGTTTCCTGTGAGATATCCGATAAAACTTGTTGCTAAGATGAGTTACGCCTCTCACCTTTTGTACATCTTGTCGCTATTAGGCGAGAGACCATTTCCAGAGCTTTGACATATCTTAAGTTTAGAGACGCAACTTCACCTGCTTCACCTGCTTGACGGTGACTTGTCGGTTTATTGTTTACCCTTGGGAGAAGTTTTTTATTTTTGGCTGTTCGTTCTCTTTGAGATTTGTGCCGGTAGCTCTAGTGCATACACTATTTATAATGAAAATGTCATTTTGTGGAGCATACTAAGGATGTATCTCTTTAATATTCTCATTTCAGATCTTTCCAGTATTTTAATTCTATTTCATTGTTGCTTCCGCTGTTCATCATTCAATTTCTGTGTTAAATTCTCGTAGGAAGGAGATATCGAAAGTAACCTGCTGGAAGTGATGGTTCAAGAGGTAGTGAAGCTGTTTTGGGATCATCTATTAAGGTGTAATGATTTAAATTCATCTTAGTTTATTTCATCATAGATTCAAATTCCTATGTATTTACATATCTGATACCTAAACTTTACTTTTTTACATTTATACCCGACATATCTTTCGCATATTATAAAAATACCACCATTTTAACTTTTAAAAAGTGCAATGCACCTTTCATGCCCGGGTGAGTGGCATATAAAATGTGAAATTTAGCTGTTAGATATGTAAATATGTAGGATTTGAGTCGTATTCATGTAAATCTTTCCTTTTTTTTTCAAATTTCATTCATTATTTTTACATCTACTTATTTTGCTTTTTTTTTTTTCCTCAGCTGAAGGTATGTTCTGATGAATCAGACATTCAGAAGGAAATTGTAATGGAAGCTATAGCTGAAAATATATGTTCTAAAACTCTCTGTAAATACATGTTTTCATTGTAGTGTTTTGTAAATTTTCTAAAGAACTTATAAATATTTTTCTGATTCTGCATATGAAATGTAGAGTGAGACTTTCTGCCTTATAAGATTTCAATTTTTTATATTTTGCATATTGTCACCTTCCAAAAGAGTCTTTGTGGGTGGTGGCAGCCAAGGACTTAAATTCTACTTTTCAGCCCTACGCCTAGCCGATGTGAGACTATTTGTTCGTGACATTCTTCTCCACCCAATCACGTGACGCCCTCGTCACGGATCGGCTCCACCGAGAATCCCACTGGACCATGGAGAGTCCACACACCTGACAGACAGTAATCTGTTTTGATACCATTTGTCACCTCCCAAAAGAGCTCTTGTGGGTGGTGGGCAGTCCAGGACTTAAATACTACTTTTCGGCCCTACACTTAGCCGATGTGGGACTATTTATCTGTGACAATATGTTTTCGATGTCATGGTGCTAAGAGTTCATTTTTGGCAACTTTTTTTCTGAAGATTTACATTCATATCACTCATTTTTTATGTATTTACATATCTAAGCCTGAACTTCAATTTTGGCATATCCACCATCTTGCATATGCTTGAAAATGTGTATTTTAGTTTTTGAAAAGTTAAGAATGGTGGCATTTTGCCGTGATTTGAATGTTTGTGTGATACATATAAAGAGAAAAGTGTATGTGTTAAGGCATGTAAATATGTGAGAATTGGGTGGTATGTTTGTAAATGCTTCTTTTTGGGAATATTGTCATAGATGCCACTCGATTCTTTCATATTTACATTTCTAAAACTTCAAATTTTACATAATCTTCTGAATTTTGATCATTTTAACCTTTGGTGTATTTTTAGTAATGAATATCGCCTCGACTTTGAGTTTATAGTTGACGTGTCATGAAGACATTATTATTGTATAAACGAAGCTTGATCCATTTTGAGCGATAAAAATTTTAAATTCAAATTCAAGATTATCCGTGGTCAAACTGACCGTTTTGGCAAATTGAACCCAACTGCTCTAAAACTAGTTCAATTCGGGTATAGTCAAGCTCAAATCAAGCTGTTGAAGCAGATTTGGAGGTTTTCAATCATTAATTGAAGGGTCAAATGAACTCTAATATTGATATATTTATAGTCAAATTGAGTATTTCGATGAGAGGAATCCAACAAGCTTATGATAACTCAATTTTGAGGCTATTAAGATACCAAAATCCTTAAAAATTTATATACGATTGAGGGGGATTTTGATGGACCATATGATCTGATGGTTAGAAAAGTTACAAGCCAAATACCAAATTGACCGTCCTCAAAAGACTATAATATATGCGGCATTTATACATACCTACCCAAATCCTATGAATTTATGTAACATATAAACTTTTTATGTTTATACCATCTCAATCTTTCATATCACAACAGAAACAACGATTACTATGACTTTTGAAGAGTGATACATTCCTTTTCATTCATTGGCAAGCGGCATGTTTGTAAAAGTTAAAATTTAGGGGTTAGATTTGCAAATATGCAGAAATTGAGTGGTAGGTTATATGCAAGTCTTTCATAATATATGTGCATGTAGGTGCTTTGTTATTCAAAAATCTACTTAGCTTGTAGCAATTATGCAAAGAGGGTCGTAATGTTAGGGTTTAGGACCTCTTTGTACGTATATTATAGCAAGAGTTATAGTAGATATGAGCTATAGGTAGGCTGGCTCGGGTGGTATGATTTATGCAGGCAGCCCAGCTGTAGGGGTGTAAACGAACCGAATACGAACGAACGGAGCTCGTGTTTGTGTTAGGTTCGTTTGAAATTACTTCTGTTTGAAATAAGCTTGTGTTTGAAATTATTTGTAAAGTTATCGTTCGTGTTTGGTTTGATTTGTTTAAAATATTTGAAATGTTTGAAATGTTCGAATTGTTCAAATTATTCGAATTATTTGAATTTGAATTGGAATTATTTGAATTGTTCGAAATCTTACAAATTTGTTTGTATTGTTCGAATTATTCAAAATTTTTCAAAAACTTGAACCTGTAAGAAATTAATGTTTAAACCTATATGAATCACAATCAAATGTAAAATAACTGAAGCACTGCTCACAATTAAACCATAATATCATATTTCATTCATAAAAAAATTAGATATAGAGACAATATACAATATTTCACTCCCGAAAACTAGGTTTCACTCAAAGAAAACTAAATAAAATTAAAAAAAAATATAATAAAAAATAATTTAAGAGACAAACCTGAAGCTAAATATGAAATTATAAAATTTAATATAACCTAAGAGGCGAACCTGAAGATCAGATTATAATTTATAGGATTTAATTTTTTTAAAATATGATAATTTTTAGAGTATATAATTATTTTTAAAATATGATTAGTTTTTTATATACAATGATTTTATATTTCGAACAATAACTATTCAAACACTATCGAACAAATAGTTGTTCGTGTTTGGTTCGTTTATAAATCGAACGAAAATAATTATTTGTGTTCTTCTCGTTTGCTTATCAAACGAACTAAGCACAAACTCTTCGACGAGCCGAACATGAACTGTTCTCAAACAACGAGCTTTTTTGACAGCCATATAGATAACTAAGAACCTCTCTATGCGACAAAAAAAGGGGTATTTACATTCATAACCCCCAACTCACATGCATTTACATATGTAACGCCTAAATACTAATTTTTATATTTACATCACACAAATCTTTCATATCACATAAGAAAAACCATCATTTTAACATTTAAAAAATAAAATACACCTTTTCATACACAGATAAGACGACATATACGTAAAAATTAAAATTTAGTTATTAGATATGTAAACACATATGAATATAGTAGTATGTATGTATTATTAAATTATTAGATATAGAACATACCCTAATATTTAAAATATATTTTAATTTCAAAATATATTTCTAAAACATATCAGAACATTCTGATATGATATATTCATCATCCAATCGCACGGCATCTGTGGGTACAATTGCTCAAGTCATCAAGCATTTGCTTCTTTAGTCGTGCTAACTACCATAATCACACAAAGCTAGAGATTGCAGTTGTCACAGATTAGATGCCCCATACAATCATATCCTAAACCACCCAAAAAAATAATAGATAATATATTCATATATTAATAAAGAAGAAAACCTCAAATGGAATAGATTCCCACTTGCCACTATATCTGGCCCCAGAGATCCTATGCTTGTCTTCATTGACAACTAACCCTGATTCTGAAATTGAGGGATAATATATATACTGCGTTGCAAGTGTTTCTTCTTATGCTGGACACTCTGAGGGACATATGACCACTTGGCTTTTCACTTGCAATTAAATATTATTTATGAATGTTCAGATGTTCGGTAGCTCGGTCGCAACCCATGTTCTGGGGAGATTTGACCCGTGTTCGGATCCAGGCAAGATTTGTTCGAATGCCGGCTCGATAGAATTTGTGGGAGACATTCACGAGTTTGCAACTCAAAGAGAGAATATTTTGGGGGAGCATTTGTTCACCAGTTTGTGGACTCGGATATGATGGATGTCGACTGTTTGGTTATTCGAAAGCTTTGGGCATGTAAAATTATGATAGTATGGTATAATATTTTGTATTGTTATGTATTATTGTATATATATATATATATATATATATATTTTTTGTGTAACTATTTATTTGGCCGAGTAAGCGTCGCCTTAAATGTATAAATAAAGATCTTATATATTAAGAGAGAATAATATATTCAATCAGATGCATAAAATTTCAACTAGGGCGTCTCATCAATTTTTTTCCCCTTGAGCAATAAAAATTTTTCTCTCCATCTCTCCTGGGGATACCTCTCTATTTATTTCTCTAACTTATCTTAGGGCTCTTATCTTGATAGTGCATATTCATGGATAATGTTGTGTTATCTACTAACCTCTCAGAACTTAACATATTAATGGATATTCAATAAATTTTTTTTTTCTCCATCTCTTGACGGGTGCTAGCTCATTTAGATGCTTGAGATAAGTTCAGCTTGGTGACCACATCATGATTTTGTAAAAAAGTCTGCAATCCCTACATCACATTACCATCACTTAGATGTATGTACAAACAACACATTATAGATGTTTGTTTAGAACCAGACTAGGTTGTAGTTAGAAATTTTGTATTGGTGATTATTGTTATGACATGTTTGTTAGCCATCATATTTTTTTGATCTTTTATGTGTTTACCAAGTTGGAGATTTATTCGCTAGCATATTTAGGATGTTATTCTTCCAGAGAGCTAGATCCAATAGAGTGGAGCTTGATTTATAAGTTAAACTAATAATTTTTATGCAGGTGCTCCTCTCATAGGACTTGACTCCTTGTTCATTGCATGTAATAACAATCTTTTATGCAGGTCAAGTCCTTATTTTCACACATTTCTTATGTACTTTTAGAATCCTAAAAGAGTATGTAATGAAAATAAGGTATGGGCATGACTTCCCATGGTACTTAACATAAGAAATTATGTGATAAGGATCATGAGTTATTTTGCTCGTGCCGAGTATCTTAATTCAAAGTTTATTTGTTATATAGATTTAAGATCAGACATTTATATGTAGAGCCTTACCATATTTTTCCTTTCTTAGGGTTGTAGCTGACTCAATGATGTTAGGCCTCTTATTTTTTATTTAGAGTATTTATTTCAATATTGAGTGTTTCCTGTTTGCCTTTCTTTGCTTGTGGTTTAACTGGGTACGACCACGATTAAGCTTATTAGGCAAAAATTTATTTATATGAAATCTTAATATTAAAAGTATTTACTCTTAATAAAATTTAGGACTAATACTTTCAAGATTTTATAATCAAAATTTTTATTTCCTATTTTTTTCTTGTTGTTTTTTTAGCTTGGATTTAAAATAATCATAATTGCTTGGATTTATCACTCGAGCATTTAATAGACCCTCTACGCTCAAGATTTTTTGGTTGATTGCATTCATATCACATGTCCAGAAGGAAAGTGTTCTCGCTGACCAAGCATATGCCCTATATGCTTAGGTTGTTTTGTCTAGCACATTTAAAGTGTTAGAGGTAGTCCCAACCATAATGGGATTGTGAGTCCTTGGTGGGGCTATTTATTTTGTAGCCTGGTCACCCACCCTTCTTTCCACTTTGTAGGCCTCCTCCCCATCATACCCTAAGTTGTTGTACGTCATAATATACCTTCTTATACCTAATTTGAGTCATATGAGCATAACTAGATTCTATTTTGAGTTTAGGGCTACTAAAATACCATAAACGATGCAACTCAAGGGTTGCTAACACGTGAATCTTGATTGAGTTGGGTTTACTTCTTTCCTAACTGAGCAAAATTAGATTTTTCATAGCTTGGGACTACAAATCTGTGAAATCTTAACATTATTATTTCTACCTGTTCAGGACTTTTCCTGCATATCGTTGGCTAACCACTTTGAGCCCTTTCTATACTCCTTTGTTTAGTCTTATAGTTGTTTCGTAGGCTCTCTTTGTTGAGGAGCGGGCAACCTATAAGGTTATAGTGATTCACCCTTTGCCCAGTAGCTTAGTGAACTCCCTACAGACATGAGATTTCCCCTATAGGAGTTGTAACAATCACCATGGGACCTATTCTTTTCATGAAGACAATCTTAAGCAAGCATAACCCATTTTATCAAACCTTTTCTGGGTATCTCCAATGATGTAATTGGTCACGAGGATACGTCGTCGTAGTAGTTCACTTTGACTCCAAAACAAAATAAATTTGATTTAATCTTTTGGTTTGGTTGCGAATGACTTTTTATAAGATTTTTTTCGTATATTTTCTTGGGTTGAGCATAATCCTATTTACTTTGGACCGTCCACCTCCAATTTATTTTACTAGAAATTTTCTATATAACTATCTTCATAACTACTTTTTTATTTCTTTAAAATTTTTGTCCACTTTCAAGCTTTCCATTCTTCCTTTGCTTTTCTAAGTAAGGGTGACCAAGAAAGATGGGTATGAAAATGACAAATGCTAAGAAGGCTATTTTAGTCAAAATAAAACGGGGCGCAAAGATACCTTTAATAAAAATCAATCAAATATAAATAAGAAAAAGTCTTAAGATATAAAATTTTATATAAGTTCGTGCATATTCACCTAGGCCGCACGATCTTTAAGGTTGAGTCATAAGTCCCAACACGGGTTAAATAAATTAATAATAACCTTAAATATCCACTTATGCACATGTCTGGTATCACGGTTTTGAAGTGCAAGTGAGTTAGGTGGTAGCAATCTGCAAGCAGGCTTGTAAGCCTATAAGAGTTGAGTTGGATTCCACTCATTTGAGGGAGTGAATTTCACAAGTTTCACTTTGTCTCCTTAGACTAGGTTTGAACTCCTTACACTTATAAGTATCCCTCACCTTAGTTTTGGTTTTGAGTTAAACTTCTCAACTTTTTTGCTAAAAGGTGAGTCCTCACCTTCGAAGCATCTTCACAATCTCGTATCATAATCTCGTATAGAATGTAATTAACTCTAATGTCTTGTCACTTCAGAGAACATGTATGCGAGAATAAAATATATCATATCTCACTGATATAAGGCAAAGGAAAAATTGCTGCCATCATAAACCTCGAATCTTGAAACTATCATTATGTGATTAAATCCATCATTGATTTGAATTTTATCTTTCGAAATGATATTTTATTCATGATATTGTATTTGGCCACAAAATGCAAAATTACAAATATCTTGTGTGGTCCACACATTCCCCCTCTAAAGGGAATGATACCCACTCCATAGCTAAGAACAATAGTTGCTCATCATGTTAAACTAAGGCATGAAAGATATGGAAACCATAATTCAATTATCCATTATACATCTCATGCACATCATTTATAAAATAATTTCCTTAATAAATTAGGATCAATTGTGGTTGATCACATGCTTGTTGTTAATTGCAATAACTAAATGCATTACCACTTAAAAAGGTTGACCGTTATTTGAACTTCCATTATTATATATAAGGATGAATTGTCAACTTAAAATTGCTACTAAAATAATTAAACTTATTAGCTCTTTTGATATTTGCACTGAATCTTCAAACATTATTAAAGCTATTTTTCAAAATCAACTTTTAAAATAGCATTTCATGATTTCTTATAATTATTCTTAAGCCCTCAATATTTATAAATCATTGAAATTAGCGCATTACAATGTGCATTAATTTGAATAGATGATAAGAGCTATGATAGTTCAAATATGAAGTCATAACTGTTTGTCTGTTTCCATATCAAATAAGTCTGTGGGAAAATTAAACGTGCCAAATCTATTTCTCACGCTCTCAAACCTATTTCTTACACGTTATTTTAGGACTAAAATTTCCATTAAACAACTTAATTCAGCGATTTTTGGCGTATTAATCGGCCGACTTTCTCATATTTTTTACCATAAAAAAAACATGTTTTTTTTCATTTTTGTAACGGAAGCAGTTGGTGTCATTCCATATAGCTTGTCTGTTGTGTCGACAACAACCATAACCTAACACCTCTAGGCTCTATATATATATATATATTCAAGTTACAGAGTACTGCCATTCATCTCTTTCTCAGCAGAAGAGAGGACACAGCACTGAGCAGCACAAGTTACCCATGGCAGCCATGATTCTCTTCTTCATCCTTATAATGACTATCCTTGTCATGATATTATTGAAACAGCTCCTATTCCCCACAAAAGCACCACCCTCCTACTACGGCCCCAAATCTCACCCTCACCCTCTCATAGGCTCTCTCATCCCCTTCTACCGCAACCGCCGCCGCCTCCTCCATTGGTACACCGAGCTCCTCACTGACTCACCATCCCACACCATCACTCTCTCCCGCCTCGGCGCCCGCCGCACCATCATCACCTCAAATCCCTCCAATGTGGAGCACATCCTCTCCACCAATTTCCCCAACTACCCCAAAGGCAAGGCTTTTACCGACATCCTCGGCGATCTCCTCGGCAGCGGCATCTTCAACTCCGACGGTCATCTCTGGCTCTCCCAACGAAAGCTTGCCAGCCACGCCTTCACCCTCCGCTCTCTCCGCGACCTCATCCACCACATCCTCCTCCCTGAGTTATCTCATCACTTTCTCCCATCTCTCATCCCCGATGGAAGAACAGTAATCGACCTACAAAAGCTCCTTCGCAGCTTCACCTTCCGCATCGTATGCCAAATGTTCGTCGGTCCGTTGTCTGCGGATCATTTACAGCTCGAGGAAGCAATGGATGTTGCATCAGCAATTAGTGCGGCGAGAGGATCTGCGCCTATCGCTCTCTTGTGGAAGGCTAAGCGAGCTCTGGGAATCGGCTCTGAGCAGCACCTATGGGAGGCTGTGGATCTCGTTCATCGCTTAGTGACCGACATTGTACTAAGAAATAGATCAGAAACAAAGAATCCATCCAATAGCTTACTTTCACGTATTCTTAAGAAAGGGAGGATATTTCATGGAGTAAAAGAGGAGATATGGATCCGAGATATGGTGATAAGCCTCCTCATGGCGGGGAAGGACACGACGTCGTCGGCGTTGACATGGTTCTTCTGGCTGCTTTCAACACATCCGAAGGTGGAAGAAAAAATATTAAATGAGCTTAAATTATGGATAAAGAGTGAGGAGGAGGAGGAGATGAGCTATGAGAGCTTGAAGGGACTGAAGTACTTGGAGGCGAGCTTAATGGAGACCATGAGGCTCTACCCGCCCGTGGCTTGGGACTCAAAGCATGCAGTTACGGACGATATTCTTCCAGATGGAACGTTGATTAGGAAAGGAGATAGAGTTACGTACTTCCCTTATGGAATGGGAAGGATGGAGGCAATATGGGGGGAGGATTGGAGAGAGTATAGGCCGGAGAGATGGATGGGGGAGTTGTTGAGGGTGTCTCCGTATAAGTTTCCTGTGTTTCAGGCGGGGCCGAGAGTATGTTTGGGGAGGGAGATGGCGATGGTTCAGATGAAGTTTGTTGCGGCGGCAGTTTTGCGTCGATTCCAATTAAGGTGGGTTGGAACAGAAACGCCGGTGATAGTGCCTCATTTGACTACCCTTATGGCCGGAGGTTTGCCGGTGGTGATACTAGAGAGGGGTCTTTAAACCCAACAATCATTCTTTCTTCTATTTTGTACACTATATTTCATTTTAAGTAATTATTTTAAATTAGAAGGTTCGGAAAATCTGCAAACAATAAATGTATCTCTTCATTTATTACTTATTATTATTATTATTTAATGAAAATGGGGTAGCTCAATAAGGGGATTCTCTCACACTCTTCTTGACTTTTCTCTCTCTCACTTGTTTCCTCACAAGCTCTCTAACTCCCGGGGCACGGAGCTGAACCAATGATGCACTCGATGAACAACTCAAATTTGGCTCAATTAAGACTGTGTCATGTTCGTTTATATTAGTAAATGAACAAGCTTGGCCAATTTTTAAAAGCTCAAAGTCTTTATGAATTAAACATGAACATAATCAGACTTGATCATTTATGTTCACGAACACACTCATTTGTTGTTCAACAATTAACATGTTAAATACTCAATATTAAACTCAATGATAGCTCGCATCATATAAGATACATTATTTAATAAAAATCTAATTAACTAGAATATTAGCTCGTTTGTTGATAGCATGATGAGAGCCCGTATTATAGATGATATAAAAATAATTGATAGTAAGTTTCTGCATGTTTTAAAGTTGTCATTTTTAGTTGTTTTGTCGATTTAGGCCAAGTCATGCTTAAATGCTGCACAAATTTATTCTACTAAAATCTCCTAAGAGAGAGATTTAGAGAAAAATGTGGAGGAGAAAAAAGTTCAATATAGTGTAGGGTTTATAGTTTATAATGCATAAATTGATAGCTGTCATCCAATTTGTAAAATTATTTATTGAATTTTTTTTGTTGAAAAATTTAAACAAGTCAAGCTTGAACGATATATAAAAGCTCGACATAAGTTTAAACCGAACAAAAAAACTTATAACCATACCAAGCCAAGTCCAAATTATGATATATTCGGCTCGATTAAACCTCGATCAGGCTCGATCGGGACATGCTTTCAAGAAGACAATTAAGGATTAAAGGCATACATACCACATAATTCTTATAAATCTAAATACGGAATGCCTAAATTTAACACTTTGATCTATAAAACTCCTTAATTATTAGCATATAATTTGATATGATTAGGAAATTAAAATATTTTATAAGTAAATATCTAAGTTTAGATGCTAGTCAAGCACACATAAACATATCACTCGACAATTTCATTGTTTTTTGTTATATATTCTTTCCTCAATGATAATCAATAAGGGAAGGAAATGAAACGGCAACTCCAATGCTAATAAATGGAATCTGCTCCTTCTCATTATACAGCAGATTTTGTCCCATTATTTGTAGTTCTGATACGTAGAAGTTGCAGAACAATGGAGGCCAAGCAGAAAAGAAACTCCATCACAAACTAATTGACAGAAAGCAGGGTCTCGTGAGCCACATGAGGCGTTTATATATAGCTCTCTTCTTCCTCATCCTTTCTCTTCTCCTTTATATTATCCTCTTATTTCTCCGAAGCTTTGGAATTATATAAGCTTTCAGAATCATGTGATCAAGCCGTCCTATGTTCATGCATGCCTGCGCACAAGTTCCACGTGCATGAATTTTTATTAAGTGGTGGATAACAGTGGTGATCAGAAAGCTTAATTTCTATGGCTGAGAGGGCAACATGAAAGAGGAGGAAGAAGAGAGCTATATTTAAACGCTCTCATGTGGCTTTTTCTTGCCATTTTTATATAATTATTAATAAGGGGCATATTCAACTATTCACGGGCCACTACATTTCCCACAAATCAGATGTATGATAATGTAGCGGTGGTTGTCCCGATGCTGCCCTGATGCACCATCCAAACCTTATAATTTCTCCATTTATATAAGTATATCAACAATCAATTGTTGTGTATTTTACATATTTAACTTTTAAGAGCTTTACCTTTCACGTTATATCATTCAATATTTTATGAAGGACTAAAAAAATACAATGTTGTGTCAAACCAAAATCATTTGAAATTATAAATTTTCTCTACTAATTGTTAAGAAAATTGCATTAATTGATTTTAAACATTCAAATAATAAATAAATTCAGTTTTTGATCAACTTTTTTCATTATTTTTATTAAGATGTAAATATATGATTGGGTGGTCATATATATAGCCGAGCAGTCATCTGGTCGGGCGGCCATGTATCTGAGCAACTATAAAGCATTGCAGGTCTCACCACCATCTTATAAAATTTTCCTTTTGGTATAAGCGGTATTTTTCTATTACACAATAGGCCTGAATCACTCCACTTCAACCAACCAACTTGAATTGGCTAATTACATCCCCATCTTTGCCACCAACATTTTGAACAATAGATCCGATATATCTAAAGTGTTCACACATTTTAATAATTTGAT